GCTAGGTGGTTGGACCTGCCATGAGACACTCCATCTAAAACATACAGAGATGACTGGCTGGCACCGGCTGGTGCTCCCTTGCTGTGATGTTGTGACCAGCCCTCAGAATGAGCTGAATGGACAACTGGGTACCAAGCATCTCAGTCTGTTGTGGACCTTACCAGACCTGCCAGCAAGATGTGCCCATGTTGCCAAGGTGGCAGGACTATTAGGGGTGACCAAGAGCTCCACACAGGGAACTCACACCTGGTACTGTAAGCTGGTCAAAAGCCTGTGGCTAGGGAAGTCACAGACCTAAGGGGGGAAGCTGCTGACTCTGTTTTACCAAATGGGCATGATGTGCCTGTCAAATCACCTGTGTATCCCACAGATCAGTGCTGTGTAGCTTTGGCCAGAGAAGCCTATCGTAAGTGACTGAGATCTCAGCCCTAAAAACGACATATCACTCATACACAGACACACCTGCAAGGCTCAGGAACATACCACAGGGGTGTGGGGATGGGGTGGGGCTCCCTGAGCACTGTCTTCTGCACATCACACAGCTTTGCACCCTCAGCAGCCTAATCTCTGCACTTGAGCTATGAGGCTGTCTATAAGTCACCTATGGGGTTGCCGCCCTGCCCTCCCTGGGGTTCACAGGCAGTTAGTGGCTACAGGGTGTGACAGATGCTTTGGCTTTGTTTTTTGTTTTTTTTTTTTTTTTTTACTTTCCTCTCTTTTTTGGATTTATTTTATGTGCATGAGTGTTTTGCCTGCATGTATGTAAGTGTACCCAAGTCTTGCAATGGCCTGAGGAGGTCAGAAGAGGGCAAAGAATCCCATGGAACTGTAGTTACAGATATTAGCACCCACAGGTACTGGGAACTGAACCCGGGTTCTCTGCAAAAAACAGCCAGTGCTCCTAACTGCTGAGTCATCTTGCCAGCCTGGGTTTTTTGTGGGTGCCAGGGATCCAAACTCAGGTCCTCATGCTTCCTGAGAAAACCCTGTACTGACTGAGCCAGTTCCCCTCCCTCCCTCCTTCCTCCCTCCCTCTCTCCTCCTTTCCTTCTTTCTTCTCTCTGCCCCTCCCTCCATTTCCAGATAGGATCTCATGCAGTTCAGGCTGACCTCGAACTCATGACTCTCATGTCTCAGCCTTCAGAGTACTAGCTGAGATGACATCCTCACCCCTGAGCCTTTGATAATCACACTCATCCTCAGAATGACTCAGACATTTCAGTAATTCTCATATCACAAACAAGGTTCAGAGAGGTTGGACAACCCACCCCAGGGCACAAGCTATGGGAGGAAAGTCGAGATTTGGGCTCGGGGTTGCTTACGACCTTCCCTTCCCTTTGAGAGTCCACTGAAGGTACTCCTGACCCCCAGCCTCCCCGGGTGGTGGTGGGCCTGACTCCCCCGAGACACCTGTCAGCCCTTGTTACTGCTCAGCCCTTGTCCTCACCTGTGGACAGGTTCAAAGGGCTACCCAGAGAGCCACACTGTAACATGAGCTTCACTAAGCTGGGGGTGACTAGACAGGTGGGCAGGTGACAGTCCAGGCAGGACATCTGGTCTGACGCCCAGGAGCCTGTCCACACCGACTCCAGGCTGTGGTCCTCACCATGGGCAGCAAACAGACTGTGTTGACTCACCAGCAGCTGGAGGAATACCAGGTGGACGTGGGCGGGGAGGCCTGGGGTTCAGGCAGCTGGGGGCCATGTGGAACCTTGCATGTGACATGGGTTCTGGGTGGCGGAAGGGCTTGAGGGAGAGTCCCAGAGTCAGATTAGGGTCCAGCAGTGTCCATCCCCACAGGACTGCACTTTCTTCACAAGAAAGGAAATCATGAGGTCAGTGGGGGTGAAGGGAGGTGGCTCGGAGGCAGCTCTCTAGTCTCTGCTGGGAGCACTGGCAAATGTTATTTTGTTTGTTTGAGGGGCCTCACTTTGTAGCCCTGGCTATCCTCAAACTTGCTTCTGCCTCGAGTGCTGGGATTACAGTGTGTGCTGCTGTGGCTGCCTGCAGAGTTTTAAATTATTTATTATTGTTGTGTGTGTACATGTGTGTGCGCCACGGTGCGTGTGTGTGTTTGCACTTGCATGCCATGGCATGTGTATGTGGGGATCAGAGCACAACCTGTGGAGCCAATCCTCTCTTCCTACCTTTACCTGGGTTCTGGAAATGGAACTCCGGCCATCAAGCTTTCTTGGCAAGGGTCTTTACCGACTGAGCCAGCTCACTGGCCCCGTTTGTTTATTTATTTAGATACTGAGTCTTGCTGTGTAGCCTAGGCTGGCCTGAAACTCTCAATCCTCCTGCCTCAGCTTCAAGAATCTTAGGATGACAGGTATATGAGTTACTATGCCTAGTATTTAAATTAAAAAAAATCAAAACTGCACTCTTTCTTTTTAAAAGAACATTTTGTTTTTTATTATGTGTATGTTTGTGTGTGTGCATGTGCCACAGCCCTCAGCTTGTGGGAGTTAGTTCTCTCTTCCATCATGTGTGTCCCAGGACTGAGCTTAGGTCATCAGGCTTGGTGGCAAGCGCCTTTACCCACAGAGCCATTTCATGGGCATTTGTGGAGTTTTTGTTGTTGTTGTTGTTTTTATTTTTTTAGATAGGATCTTTCTGTAGCTGCAGATGGCCTGGAACTCACTACATAGACTAGACTGGCCTCGAACTCACAGAGATCTGCCTGCCTCTGCCTCCCCATTGCTGGGATTAAAGGCATGGGCCACCATACTTTGAAAATTTTGCAACTTGGTAGGACTCAATATATCAATGTGGCAGAGGTTAAAGCATTGGGGGTGTTGCCCCTTGGTCAGTGGACAGAGGCAAATGTAGCAGCTGAGAGGTCACATCCTGTGACATGGGCACTACTGTTACAATTGGGCAGCTTGGTCTTCTGCCCATGGGTAGCAGGGAGTGTGGAGGGTGTTGGAAGGCATACCTCCATTTGGAGGCTGGGAGTCCAGTGCAGAGTTGAGAGCCAGCTGAACTCTGACTGATATAGAATAGACAGTGGCTATGTGCAGGTGGCCCCTTGGGGTCCCTGGCATGAGCCCAGGGAGATGTACATAGCTGAGCCTCCTCTGTCACCACCCTGCCTGTGGAGCCATTGTACAGAGGCCCCGGCCCATGAACCCAGAGCTGTGAAACCCAAGCTGGCTGGGGTTCAGCTGCGGGGCACTCAGAGCCAAGCCCCACTTGTGTGGGCTCAGGGCATCCATTATTAATGGGCGCAGCTCTCACCCGTCAGTCCCATTGTCTGTGTGGGGACAGCTCGCAGTGTCGTGATCAGATCACTGATGGGGAAACTGAGGCTCAGGCTTCAGAGTCACCAGCACTGGAGGATGGACAAGCTCACTGAGGCCACACAGAAAGACAAACTCCATGAACCAGCAACATGGCTTAGTGAGTAAAGGAGCTTGACCAAGCCTGATCACCCGAGTCCTATCCCTGGGACCCACAGGGTGAAAGGAGAGAACTGACTCCTGCAAGTTGTCCTCTGACCTCCACACACATATAATCTTGCAAACACACAAATAACTGTAAAAAAAAATAGATACTTAAATGTAAAAAAAGAAAGAAAGAAATAAAAATTCTTGGTGTTCCCTGTAGTACCCTGGGAATTGGGTAGTCAGGATGGAAATTCCTTAGACTTCCCAAGTTCATGGCCACAGAAAACTCAGAGGCATCTGTGTCCCTCTGAGAAAGTCCCTAGTAGCTTTGGACATCAGAGACACTCAAGATGGTCTCTATGAGGCTCATGCTCAGTATGCAGTGTTTTGTAGATTCTCTTTCAAAACATCTGGCCAGGTGTGGTGGTGCATACCTGCCAACCTGGCACTCATGAGGTTGAAGAGTTGGAGAGCTGGTCTGGCGGTTAAGACCGTGTGCTGCTCTTGCAGAGGACCTGAGTTCAGATTCAAGCACTTGCATCAGGTGATTTACAACTATCTGTAACTCCAGCTCCAGGGGATCTGACACCCTCTTCTGACCTCCACAGGCACTGCATGACACAGGTGCACTTGCATATATGCAGGCAATACACTCATACACATAAAATAAAAATATAAATAAAATATTTTAAATTAATAAAAAATTGATTTATTTTTATTTTATGTGTATGAGTGTATTGCATGTATGTGAGTGCACCCGTGTCGTGCAATGCTGCGGAGATCAGAAGAGGGCTTCAGATTCCCTTGGAACTTGTCCCTAGTAAATAATTTATTATTATTATTAATATCCATGGAGGCCAGAAGAGGGCATTGGAACCCTTAGAACTGGAGTTTCAGCCAGGCATGTTGGTGCACGCCTTTAATTCCAGCACTAGGGAGGCAGATTCAGGTGGATCTCTATGAATTTGATGCCAGCTGGGCTCGTCTACAGGCTAGCTTGGGCTACATAGCGAGAATCTATCTATCATCTATCTGTCTGTCTATCTATCTATCTATCTATCTATCTATCTATCTATCTATCTATCATCTATCTATCTATCTAAACCATACTGGATATTAGCTGTTTGTCTGTGCACTGCCCCATTGGAGGAAACCTGCCTTCTATTATGGAGAGTGGGAAGGGAGGCATAAGGACAGGTAGAGGGGTCTCTGAAGGCAGGGTCTTGCCAATGTAATGATGAAATATATAGGTTACCTATCAAGACCCTGTTGATGTTTGCTGTGAAGTGACCAGCCATTAGCACCTCTGTTCTCCCAGCTCTGTCTTCCAGGGGAAATCCTGCTCATACTTCTAAGCCCAACTACAATACCCCTTCCTCTAGGAAGCCCATGCTCCTCAGCTTGTCCCTACCTCCCCTCTTTACCCTGGCCTTGTCTGCAGGGAGGGACACAGAGGTGCTGATGTCTGGTTCTGTGTGTTCGAGTGTCAGACCTACCCAAGGCTCCCAGCGACCCAGCATGCTCTGCTATGGAGTGTGTGACAGACAGGAGGGACAGGTGTCTTTCCCTCTTGGCGCCCAGCCTTCCCTGGCTTCTCTCTTCCCACACCAGACTCTTCTATCGCTACCAAGACCTGGCCCCCCAGCTGGTCCCCCTCGACTACACCAGCTGTCCTGATGTGAAGGTGCCCTATGAGCTGATCGGCACTATGCCAGAGTTGAAGGTACGCCTGGGCCGTGGGGACAGAGGAAGCTGCTCCATTGTGTTCCTATGAGGTGGGAGTTACTGTCAACCCATTTTACAGCTGAGAAAACTGGCTCAGAGAGGTTCTGACACTTGCTTCTGTCACAAGCTGCAACATCACAAAGAGACAAGGTTAAGATGGAATCACAGAAATGGTGAAATGAAATCACACAGGCAAAGGGCTTAGTTACTGGCCAGGTGTGGTACTACACACTTGTCATCCCAGTATGCAGGAAGCTGAGGCAGGAGGATTAAGAGTTGGAGACAAGCCTAGGTAACATGAGATCCTGTCTCAAAAGACACAATCTCTCCCCCACAGGTTTAAGGAACATCATAGAAGAGGGGTAGAGAGAATGTGGAGTGCTGTGAAACTCTGTCTTCTGGACACACTGTTGCACTCGGAACTCACAGTGGTTGTGGTTACCTGCACCAGATTGTGCCTGTCAACAATCCAGACTGGAGGGGGAGGGGCTCATAAAGTCCTGCCCCTCCCTGAGGAGCAAGGGGCAATTGATGGTTGCTTGGGCAGGGGAGTCACATTGTTCGGTAGTGGAGCCCATGCTCCTGTAAATGACTCCACCTATGCCAGCACCCCTTAAATTAAACTTAGTGCTGGAGAGATGGCTCAGCGGTTAAGAACACTGGCTGTTCTCGAAGAAGACCCAGGTTCAAATCCCAGCACCCACATGGCAGCTAACAACTGTCCGTAACTCCAGTCCCAGGGGATCCGACAACTTCTTCTGACCTCCGTGGGCATTGCACGATATGGGTGCACTCACCTACAGGCAGGCAATACACGAATACACATAAAAATAAATAAATAAAATTTTTTAAAAAGTTAAAAAAAATAAACAGTAACACACAGGGAAAGGACATGAACTTTTGAGGGGCAAGTGTTGAAATGAAGAGGTCCTGTGATGTGGAGGGAAAAGAGAAGGGAACCACAGGGGTTCTAGTTTCATTCTGTTGCTGTGACAAAAGCCATCACCAAAAGCAACTTCAAGATGAAAAAGGTTTATTTCACCGGGCTTGGTGGCTCACACCTTTAATCCCTTGGCAGGTGGATCTCTGTGGGTTCAAGGCCAGCCTGGTCTACAAAGTGAGTTCCAGGACAGCTGGGGCTAAAAAAGACCAAAAAAGAAAGAAAAAGGTCTATTTCAGTTTCCAGGTCACAGTCCATCACTAAGAGAAGTCAGGCAGGAATTCAAGCAGAAATCACAAAGGAACACGGCTTGGGGCCTTGCTCAGGCTCATGCTGAGCTAGCATTCTTACACAGCCTAGCACCACTGGCCTAGAGAATGTTGCCCTCAAAGTTAGCTGAGCCTCCTACATCAATTAACCAGCAAGACAGTTCCTCATAGGCCTACAGGCCAGTCTGCTCTGGGAAATCCCTCAGTGGAGACTCCCTTCTCACATGACTCTAGGCAGTCTCAAGTTGACAGTTAAGGCCAACTAGGATGGGGTGAAAATACATATACAAAAGACATTATATATCAAAAGACATTATGTACATATATGAAATGTCAAAGAATAAGTAAGAAATTGTTTAAAAACTAAAATGAAGCCAGATATGATGGCCCATGTGTTTAATCTGAACACTTGTGAGGCAGAGGCAGGCTGATCTCCATGAGTTTGAGGCCTACCTGGTCTACACAGCAAGTTCCAGGCCAACCAGAACTACATAGTGAGACCCAGAGAGAAGAGACAGAATTGAGAATTTAGCTCAGTGGTTAGAACACATGTGAATTACTGTTTCCAAGCCTCAAACTAAATGATAATAGTAATAATAATAATAACAACAACAACAACAACAATAAACTCAAGGTGCAGGCAGCGGAGAAGGCTTGCTGTAGCTCACTAGTCCTTTTCCTGGAAGAGGCAACAGCCTCAGGCTGCCTCTGATTGGCCAATTTGAGTCACATGTCCCTCCCACATCAATTCTGCCTTGCTTCCGGAATGGCAGCCTCCAATTGGCTTCTCTGGGTTATGGACTTTCTGAGGAGCCGGAAGTGGGGAGTACCTGGTGAGGTGGTCAATTGCCGGAATTCCTGTCCAGGGTCCTTGGCTTCCCTCTGACACCTGCCTTCCTCTCCTTAGGACAACCCTTTCCGCCAGAGAATTGCCCAGGTTTTCTCCCAAGATGGGGACGGTCACATGACCTTGGACAACTTCCTGGACATGTTCTCAGTGATGAGTGAGATGGCTCCCCGGGACCTCAAAGCCTACTATGCCTTTAAAATTTATGGTGCGTACAGGGCCCTGGGGTGGGGGAACCTGAGGAAGCACTCATCACATCTGTGGTAAAGGCTGCAAAGCAAGGCCCTGGCGGCCACCCCATCCTATGCCTCCCAACCGAGTAGTGTCCTCCTCTTGCCCACTCTGTTCCAGATACACCTTTTACCTTTTACAGCGCTGGGTCTGGAACTCAGTGCCTCTTGCATACTAGACAGGGCTCAACGCTTGAGCCACGCCCCCAGCCCCTCACTGGGGGATTCTAGGCAGGGGCTTTACCTCTGAGCCACACCCTAACCCCTCATTGTGGGTTATCTGAAAGGCTGGGATGAAGCTCACTTGCCTAACGTGTAAACATCTGGGTTTGAATTCCCCCCTAAAGTTATCCCAGTTCTTGGCGCACAGTAGGCATTAAATAAATACTTGCTGTATGAATTCTGGGCAGGTCCTGCCTTCTTCCAAAGCACGACTGGTTCTTCTCCAGCCTCTCTTTCCTCTGGTTACATGAGGACAGACATGTCCTCCTGCCACTTAGTGTCCCCACTTCCTACGTCGGCCCCACAGACTTCAATGATGATAACTACATCTGTGCATGGGACCTGGAGCAGACGGTGACCAGGCTGACCCGTGGGGAGCTGAGTGCTGAGGAGGTGAGCCTGGTGTGTGAGAAGGTGCTGGATGAGGCGGACAGCGACCACGATGGGCGCCTGTCACTGGAGGACTTCCAGAGCATGATCCTTCGGTCGCCAGACTTTCTCAGGTATGAGCACGGGGAGGGCCTGACACTCAGACCCTGGGATGGGAACTCCCGTGGGTTCACTGGAGACCGTGGGAAACGCCCCCAGTGTTTCTGGCCTCAGTCCCCACAGCTCTCTGAGGCGTTGGGTGACTGCTTTTTTGTCAACTGAGTTTTTTTGTTTTGGTTCTTTTTTTTTTTTGGTCTTTTTTGAGACAGGGTCTCCCTATAGACCTAGCTGGCCTGGAACTCGCTGTGTAGACCAGACTGGCCTCAAACTCACAGAGATCCTCCTGCCTCTGACTCCCAAGTGCTGGGATTAAAGGCATGTGCCACCATGCCTTGGCTGTCAACTGAATTTTGGAGTGCTCTGACTGTACAGCTGTACTTGGCAGTCTGGTGGTATGATTAGAGCCTCAAGTACAATAGGGTAGGGCAGGTAGAGGACCTGGGTACTTATTACAGAGTTGGTAGACTAAGCCCAGGACCATATCTATCCTGGGGTGTTTTTTTTTTTTTTTTTTTTTTTTTTTTTTTTTTTTTTGTATTCCTTTGTTTGGGTTTTACGAACAGGGTTTCATGTATCCCTGGCAGACCTTGAAGTCTATGTAGCTGAGTATGACCTTGAACTCCTGATTCTCCTACCTTCACCTCCTGAGTGCTGGATTGGCAGATAGGCATCACCACACTTCATTTATGCAGTGTTGGGGATGGAACCCAGGTCTTCATGCCTGCTAGGCAGGCACTCTGCCAACTGAGCTCTAGGCAGACTGAGCTCCAAGAGCCACAACTGAGCCACATCCCCAGCCCCTATCCTGGATTTCTTTTTAACCTTCTGATAGCTAAGAGATGATTTTTGTTTTTCTTTGAAACAGGATCTCCTTATGTAGCTCATGTTGACCTCATGCTAATGATCATTCTCCCTCAGCTTCCTGAATGCTGAGATGACCTGTGCCCACTGGTGTACTGGGCTCAGCAAACTTATTTTATGTACACAGCTAAATGGTTGAGCAAGATGAAGTAGGCAGTGCTATGATCCCCGTGTTGGGGAGGCTGAGGCAGGATTGTGAGTTATATGCCAGCCTGAGCTACAGAAGAGACCCTGTCTCAAATAAATAGATAAATAGATAATAGATGATAGATTATAGATGTAGAAGATAGATGCACAGATGCTAGATGCTAGAAGATAAATAGATGGATCAAAGTTTGCTGAGTCCTGAGCTAACACAAGGAAAAAAACTAGGGCAGTATCCAGCATACAGTAGGTATCCAATAAGTGTGTATGTTCCACTGTACCCAGCATAGAGTAGGTATCCAATAAGAGTGTCCCACATATAGTAGGTGTTCAATAAGGGTGTCCAGCATATAGTAGGTATCCAATAAGTGTGTTCACTCCACTGTGGCTACTGTTATTGTTGGTATTTTTTTTTCTGTAGCTAAGGTCTCTCCCCTGAATATGGAAGGCTAATTCCATTCACTGAGCATGCCCAGTGTATCCTGCCCTTTCAACCTTATGGGGTCACAGCTGGCACCTCCATTTTACAGGGGACTAAATTGAGGCTCAAGAGGGCCAGCTACCTGCTCAGAGCCTCACAGCATGTCTAAGGAGGAGCTGGGATGTGAGCTCTGATTCAAAGAGAAGTGCTTATGACATGGTAGCACAGCAGCAGCACCCGGGAGACTGAGGCAGAACTGCTGTGAATTCTAGGGCAGCCTGGGCTCTGGAGTGAGCTACTACCTCCCCAAATCCAAACAAATCAAACAAAAAAGAGGTCCTGGGGGCTAAGGAGATGGCTCAGTGGGTAAAGTGCTTGCTGTGCAAGCATGAGTCCAAATCCCCAGCATCTATATAAAAGCCAGCATGATGGCAAGCACCTGCTACCCCAGCACCAGAGAGACAGAGACAGGAGGCTCACTGGGGCCCTCTGGCCAGCCAGCCTGGCTTAACGGGTGAGCCCCAGGCCAGTGGGAGACCTGTCTCAAAAAAATAAGGTGGATGGTGGCTGAGGAAGGGCACAAGAACACTTGAAGTTGGCTCCGTCCTCCACACACCTGCATATGCTGCCTGCAGTTTCTGGGGCTGTCCATCGCTCCAGGGCTTCCCAGTCACCTCTAGGACTTGGGAACTGGGACTGAGCTGGGTGGCCTATGCTAGTAGCTGCTGACATGGCCTCTCTTTGCACACACAGCACCTTCCACATCCGCATCTGAGAATGCTGTGGAGGACAGGGCCCAGCCTCACTCTCTTGGAACTCTGGTCTGCCTGGCTGTGGGAATAAATGGATTACACTAGCCTTGGGTCTTTGCCTTTTGCTGTGTGACCTTGGGTGTGGCCATACACTCCGAGCTACAACATCCCATTTCTACTACAAACTGACTTCTAGATCTCTCTCCTGTGGCATCTGGCAGTTCCTCTGTGTGAGTCACCGTGTGTTCAGATCAGGCTCGCCCATCCTTCCCCAGGGGAGGACCCTCACCTGGCCTGCTCAAGCCTTCAAAGGGACAAAATAAAATTTTTTTTACTGGTTCACTAAAGGTGTGTGGGGACACCTCCTGGGGAGAGGCAGGAGCCTCATTTTCAGAGCTTGACCCAGTGCATCACGGTTTACATTTGGAGGAAGCCCAAGGCCACACCACAGCTCACTGCTAGAAGCTGACTTGATCAGAAAGCACCTCACTCTGCACTTATACCTCCATGTCCTGTGAATGTGAATTTGGGGAGCCCTGCATCCCATAGCACCTGGAGTTGTCCTTGGCCCTTATGTAGGGCCTCTTCAGTCCAGTAGGTGGTTAATCTGCCCACCCAGCCCCAACCCAAGTCTTCCTAGAGCACTGACCCCTGGTGGTTAAGAGCCCCAACTTCTGGGGCTCAGTGGTTAAAAGTGCTTGTTATTCTTGGGCTGGAGAGATGGCCACCGGTTAAGAGCACTGGCTGTTCTTGCAGAAGACCCGGGTTTGAATCCCAGCACCCACATGGCAGCTAACTGCCCATAACTCCAGCTCAAGGGCATCCAATGCCCTCTTCTGTCCTTTGTGGGCATTGCACAATATGGATGCACTTAACCTACATGCAGGCAATACACATAAAATAATAATAGCCAGGTGTGGTGGCGCACACCTGTAATCCCAGCACCTGGGAGGCAGAGGCAGGAGGATTCCTGTGAGTTCAAGGCCTGCCTGGTCTACATAGTAAGTTCCAGGCCAGCTGGGGCTGCAAAGGTCTCAAAAAAGACTAAATAATAATAATAATAATAATAATAAGAGTGCTTGCTGTTCTTCCAGGGGACCCAGGTTCAATATCCAGAAACCACTTTTGGCAGCTCAAAACCATCTGTAACTGCAGCTCCTGGGGGAATCCAATGCCTCTGGCTTCTACACATACCTGCACTCGTGTGCACGTAATCCACCCCCCCACCCCGCCTCCAGCCACACACAAAAAATAAAAGTCGTCTGAGGGCTGGAGAGATGGTTTTGTGGTTAAGAGCACTGGCTGCTCTTGCAGAGGACCTGGGTTTGGTTCCCAACACCCACATGGGGACTAACAACCATCTGTAAATCCAGCATGCAGGCAAAACACTCATACAAATAAAAAGTAATAAAATATTTAAATAAATCTCTTTATGCCGGGTGTGGTGGCGCACGCCTTTAGTTGCGGAGGACCCGGGTTTGATTCTCAGCACACTGCAGTTCCAGGGGAATCCAAAGCCGCCTTCTCACATCTGTAGCATTGCGCAGCATGGATGCACTCACATACATGCGGGCAATACAGTCATACATGTAAAATAAAAATAAAATATTTTTTTAAAAAATCTTTGTTTTTATTTGATTTTTTAAAAATCTATTAAGTCTTTAAAATTATGCATATGTGGAAGGGGCTGTGTGCACAGGAATGCAATTGCCTTTGGAGGCCAGAGGCATCCTCTGGAGCTAGAGTTATAGACATGGTGCTGGGAACCAAACCCAGGCCCTCTGCAAGAGCAGCAGGTGCTCTTAACTGCTGAGCCATCTCTCCAGTCCTGAGGTCTATTTCTGTGAGCCACTGCTGCATAGGGGAGGCAAACCACCTACTTCCCACCTTCTGGGAATTTGAACTCAGATCCTTTTGCTTTCAGGGCAAGCACTTTACCTACTGAGCCATTTCCCCAATCCAGGATGTCACGTTTCAGAAAAATATTTTTGTGTGTGGCTGAATCAGATACGGCCGGTGGATACAGAGATTATAGAAGGTGAGGCACAGGCTTGACATGTGCTTGGTATACCAAATCACTGCTGTGATTTCTAAAATTACATTTAATTATTTTTTATTTATTAATTATTTGTGTGGAGGTCAGAGGACAATTTGAAGGAGTGTTTTCTCCTTTCACCATGTGGGTCTTGGGACTCGAACTTCAAACTCTGGTCATTAGCTTTGACAGCCTTTACTTGCTGAGCCATCTTGGGGGCCCTCAGTGCTGTAATTTTATTATTAAAAACCAGCATCCCCAGCAGACCCCAACTTCAGAAATCGCCCCCTCCCAACCTCTTGAGTGCAGTTCTCGGATTGCCAGGGCAGGTGTGGGACCGGGGAGGGGAGGAGGACGGATACCCAGAGGGGCATAGAAACTCAGAGGAGTAGGAGCGTCATCAGTACCCAGGGGCGAATGGTGGCGGAGGGAGGTACTCCTCGGGTAGCCAATCCTGGGCTGTCAAGTCTTGGGTCTGGGGTTTGGTTTCCTGGACCGACAGGGCCCTCATCATCTTCCCTGGCCAAGCCCTAAGCCCCGAGGCTGTGTCCCTCCAGCTGGTAGCACTGGCGGCCTTCTTGGAGGCGGCGTCTCTGCCTTTCCAAGTCTGGGGCTCTGGGGGGGTTGGGAAAGAGGGGGCTGCACGGGGCTCAGCGGGGCGGCGCGGGCTGTCCCAGCTGGCCGCTCGGGTCACAGGGCAGCGGGGCTGCACGGTCGCTGCCAGGTGATCGCTGAGCAGCCGCTGAGCCTTCCTGCCAGTCCGCGGCACCGTCTTCAGGGTCTGCCACAGTTTCCGGCGGGCTTCCCAGAAAGGCGCTTTCGGGGAGCAGGATGCAGATGCAGGCTCTCCGTGGACCACTGCGGGCGCCTTCTTTTCGGAGGCCTGGAGCAGGGCAGGTGGACAGAGGGGAGCAGAGCTCGGAGCTGCCTGCAACGTGAGCCCCGCTGACCCGCGGCCGCCGGGCCCCGGGTCCCCCTCACCGAGACTGAGTGCCAGCCTCCTGGGGCCTACCTACCTCCTCAGGCGGGCGGGACGGCGTCTGAGCTTCCCGGGGACCGGGGCTGTGGGCGCCCTCAGCCACAGTGTTATAGTAAAGGAAGAGATCCTCGTAGTCCACGTGGGCTGGATCCTTCTGCAGGGCGGAAGACCTACGGCTCCTAGGAGTAGGGTCCCGAGAACCCGGCAAGGCGGAGAGGACCCCGGCCACGCCTACCGGGCGTTGCCAGGAGCTATCCCCGCCCACAGCGGCTCTCGGGACACGCCCACTAACCCTCATGAGGTCATAGCCCCGCCCACAGCGATCTCGGACCGCCCACCGAGCCCCTCTGGGGGATGCTGGCTCTTGGCAGCAGATGGGCCAAGGTTACACCCACTGGGACCCTAGAGGGCAGTGACCCGGAGGACAGAGCCCCTGGAGGGGCAGCCCTGGGGCCCAGCCTGGACCTCTGGCAACCCTTGGCGGTCGGCTGGGGTCTCACCTGCCCGCATGCCTGGGTCAGCAGTTCCCCGTGCGGCCTAATAGGCTTCTGCTGATGGAAGATGACCAGGGCGTCCAGTGAGGCGTGGGTCACATCGTCCCCAGTGAGGACGAAAGTCCCATCGTCCAAGAGCTTAACCATGAAGTGACGGCAGCAGGTCTGGGCTCTGCAGAGGCACGGCTGGGTTTGGGACACAGCCCTGTGCACCTGCCTCATGGTGCAGCCCAGCCACCCCAACCCAGCCACATTATGCCTCAGTTTTCCCAGATCTATCTATCTATCTGTCAGTCAGTCAGTCAGTCAGTCAGTCAGTCAGTCAGTCAGTCAGTCTGTCGTCTGTCTGTCTTTTTGAGACAAGGTCTCCCTGCAACCCCTGCTGGCCAGGAACTTAGTATGTAGACCAGGCTGGCCTTGAACTTACAGTGATCCACCTATCTCTGCATCCCAAGTGCTGGGATTAAAGATCTGTGCCACCACACCTGGCCTTTTAAATTTATTTTTATTTTTCTTTTTAAAAAATTTTAAAATGGGAGCTGGAAAGATGGCTCAGCGGTTAAGAGCACTGACTGCTGTTGCAGAGGACCTAGGTTCAATTCCCAGAGCCCACATGGCGGCTACTAACCGTCCTTAACTCCAGTTCTAGGGAAATCCAAAGCCCTCTTCTGACCTCCATGCCATTGCAGGACATGGGTGCACTCACATACATGCACGCAATACATTCATACACAAAATAAAAACAATAAATAAAATATTTAAAAATTAAAAAAATATATTGAGTGTTTTGCCTGCAGGTATGTAAGTGCACCTGTGTCATGCAATGCCAGAGGAGGTCAAAAGAGGCATTGTATCCCCTGAACTGAGGGTTGTGAGCTGCCACGTGGGTGCTGGGAACTGAACCTGGGTCCTCTGCAAGGGCAGTCAGTGCTCTTAACCACTGAGCCGTCTCTCCAGCCCCAACATGGGGTTTCTCAGGCAGACCTCAGGGGTTCTCGTGAGGATGAAATAAGCAACAACAAACTGACTGTTGTGGTCACACCGGTTATAACCGCATTGGGGAGACTGAGGCAGGAGGATGGAGAGTGAGACCCCTGTGGCCACCAAACCACAATTGCAAATCTTTCTTTTTTCCCTTTTTTTTTTTTTTTTTTGACACAGAGTCTCACTCTGTAGCCCAAGCTGGCCTTGAACTCACAGAGATCCGCCTGCCTCTGCCTCCCAAGTGCTGGGATTAAAGTCGTGTGCCACCACGCCCAGCTCATTCATTCATTTTTGAGACAAGTTCTCCTATAGCCCAGTCTGGACTCAGGTTCACTATATAGGTCTCAATGATCTTGAACTCCTGATCCTCTTTTAGCCTCCGGACTACTGAAATGACATGTGTGTGCCACCTTGGAGCAAATTCAAGGCCAGCCTGGGCTACTGTGAGATCGTCTCAAAGGAAAGGAGGGAGGCAGATAGAAAGAGAGAAAGTAAAAAAGGAAAGTTCTGTCTTTGTACCTTCTGAGATGACAAAATCAGGCTTTGAAGACTTTGGGAGCCCGACTGCCTTGGTTTTCTCGACCCAGACTCAAGAAATCACTAATCATGGGGATTGGAGAGATGGCAGGGGGATTAAAAGCACTGACAGCTCTTGCAGAAGACCTGGGTTTGAATTCCAGCTATTCTAGGGGATCTGATGCCCTCTTCTGTCCTCTGTGGACATGGGTGCACTTACATTACATGCAGGCAATTAACTCATTTGCATTAAAACAAAAAATAATACACAAAAAATAATAGACAGATAGGAGATACCTTCTTTTGAGTTGTTGGCCAGGGTGGCCAAAGGGATTCCCAGACAGTAACCCAGCATAGAACTGGGAAATTGAACAGCAGACTCCAATCTTATCTAAAGGAATATTGACAACTGATTTCTTTTAGATGAGGAACAGCTGCCCTTCCTAAAACAAAGCCCTCTAGATAGGCTGACTAGATTCACCAGATGGACAAGTAGTGGGGAGTAACTGGGGGAGCTGACAAAACAGCAGACAGCGGACAGTAGCAAGAATAACAGGGTTCTAGTAGGGGGAGGGAGGCTATGGGAGGGTGCCATCTGGGAAGTGGGTGTATAGTTGAATAGGACGGTTTGGGATGCTCTGTGTGATATACACACAGGAAAAAAAATCAACAAATTATTATATTTGAGGAGGAAGCATAAAAGTTTATGTCATGTTAATTAATAAGGTGATGAACATTACCATTGAAATCTACCCGATGACTTTATAGACATATACAGGTGCCAAGGATCCGAGTGCAACCGATTATGACTAGTAATAATCAGATACATACAGATTAGAGATGCATGCACCAACAGCTTAGTGTTTTGAGCAAAAACAATGAGTCTTTCTGTAAGAAACAATATATTTTAAAATTAAATCTTTTTTAAAGGTTAAAAAACTCATTCAATTTTATGTCTTACAGGGTGTCTCCCAGTTGGCTAGTTCCTCCAAGGGGCGGGGCCTGCTGCGGAGCGTGGACTAGGAGGTGTGGCTGGGAGCCAAATTTTATAGCCACTTTTGAAAGAGATGTATCTTTGCTCTGGAAACTGTTAATGAGTAATGTTAAAGCAGTAATGAAATGCTTCTTCTAAAAAAAATAGAAACAAAAAATAATAGAAGAAATCACTATAATAAAAAACATAAAGAAAGAAGAAATCACTATGATAAAAAATATAAAGAAGAAATCACTATGATAAAAAATATAAAGAAAGAAGAAATCACTATGATAAAAATATAAAGAAAGAAAGAAAGAAAGAAAAAGAAAGAAAGAAAGAAAGAAAGAAAGAAAGAAAGAAAGAAAGAAAGAAAGAAAGAAAGAAAGAAATCACTATAATCAGGGCCATGAGTGTGGAGGTGCATGCCTTTAATTCCAGCAATTAGGAGGCAGAGGCAGAGGCAGGTGGATCTCTGTGAAATCGAGGCCAGCCTAGTCTACATAGTGAGACCCTTGTCTCAAAAAGCCAGTCGACCAACCAACACAAACAAACAAAAAAAACCCAAAACAAACCACTAATTGGAGGGTGGAGGGTGGAGGGAGGCAGGGACCACCCTCAGACCTCTGTAGCCTCTGTTCTCAGACACAGACTCATGGTCTCAATTCCCAGTGTTCCCTGATAGCCGGATAAAGCCACGCCTGCCTGCAGTCATTCCTCTCCATCCAGATCTGTGCAGACCGTGGACGCATGAGGCACCCTTGGCCCTGTCTCAGGAAGCCTCAGATACCCCATCCCCCAAGCCTTAGGTCCCCCTCTCACTCCCACCAACAAGCCTTACTTGTAGGAAAGAGTGTATCCCACGTGGCTGTGGCTGACTCGGATGAGAAAGGTCCCTGGAGGTTGTGACTCTAGCAAGTTCTCAGCAGCCCTGGAGAGGTATGGAAGAGAAGACTGGCTGGACATGGAGGCCCCCACACACAGGACACCCAAGCAACTTGAGACTTGGTTTTGGTTTTGGTTATGCACATGGCTCTCTTGTAACACACTGCTCAGCCTGGCTCCTTCCCCCTCGGTCTGGGCATGCCCAATGCTCTTTGGACAATGCATTTGGAAACATGGGATGCCCAAGTATCTGGGCTACACAAATACCCCTCATTGAAAAATGGGGTAAATTTCCCCACCTCTAAACAATGAAATCTAGACACTTTCTATTTCAGTGTATTTCCAGTGTGTCTGGGAAAAACAGAAGGCCCCATCTGGGTCTGTCAAGTTGGCTCAGCAGGTAAAGGTGCTTGTTGCTAAGCCCAACAACTTGAGTTTGATTTCCAGAAACCACATAGAGAAAGGAGAAAACTGACCTCCACACATATAATAAATGAATAAAATATAATAAAAACTTTTGGGGCAGAGCTGGACAGATGGCTCAGCAGTTAAGAGCACTGGCTGCTCTTGCAGAAGACCTGGGTGTGAATCCCAATATCCACATGAAGGCTAAGAACCATGTGTAACTTCAGTTCCAGGCAATCGGACACTTTCATACACACAAAGTAAATTTTTTAAAATGTAATAACTTTTAATCTATTGGGGCTGGAGAGATGGCTCAGAGGTTAAGAGCACCGGCTGCTCTTGCAGAGGACCCGGTTCAGTTCCCAGCATCCACATGGTGGCTGACAACCTTCCCTAACTCCAGCATCCACATGGTGGCCTACAACTTTCCATAACTCCAGTTCCAGGGGATCAGACACCCTCTTATGGCCTCTAGGGGTACTACATATACATGGTGCACATACAAGCAAACAAAACACACATAAAAAAATAAATAGGGGCTGGAGGGATGGCTCAGAGGTTAAGAGCACTGACTGTTCTTGCAGAGGACCCGGGTTCGATTCCCAGCACCCACATGGTGGCTATGAACCATCCTTAACTCCAGTTCCAGGGGAATCCGAAGCTCTCTTCTGACCTCCATGGCATTGCATGACATGGGTGCACTCACATACATGCAGGCAATACACTAATACACATAAAAAATAAAAAAAATTAAAAAATATCATCCAGGCATGGTGGTATACACCTTTAATCCCAGCACTTGGGAGGCAGAGGCAGGCGGAACTGTGTGAGCCTGAGGCCTACAGTGAGTTCCTGGCCAGTTGGGATTACAAGAAGACCCTGTCTCAAAACAGACAACAGGAAAGAAAAACCCAGCAGCAAAAGTCTTGTTTTGGAGCTCTGAACAATACCTGGAACCTTGAGCGTCCTCACTCATGTGGCTTGCTGTCAGTTCCCTAAACATATATTTATTACATTTGATGCATGTATTCTGTGTATGTGTGTGCACACTTTGGAATGTGCTGCTGTGGGAGGCAGCTCTCTCCTTCTGCCATGTGGGTCCCAGGGAAGGAATCAGAGCCTTGGGCTTGGTACCAAGCACCCTTATCCATTGAGCCACCCATCTCACTGGCCTCCCTGTCAATCGTGACACTATATAAATCTTATTACTTTTGAAAATCTATGTGAGACCTTATTTTCAATTCTTTGGCTAAGATGCCAAGAACTGGGAAGCTCTTGCTCACCACCTATCTTAACCCCAGAAGCATAGCTGCAGAGTGAGGAGGCCAGGGCTTTCCCATAGTCCTTTTCTTTATCGAGACAGGGTCTCATGTAGCCCAGCTGGCCTTAAACTCTCTATGTAGCTGAGGACGACCTTGAACTCCTGATTCTCCAGCCTCCATCTCCCGAGTGCTAGGATGACAGTACATTTGGTTTATTCGGGGTGGGGACAGAACCCAGGGGTATGTGCATGTTAGGAAAGCACTCTTTCTCCTGAGTACAGGCACTCTACCAACGGACTATGTGAACTCCATCAACTGAGCTACAGGCACTCCACTAAATGAGTTGCGGGGACTCTACAACTGAGTCCCAGCCACAGCCTCTGAATGAACAACACAATTTTTCTTGGTGGTTTGAAGCCATGGTATGATATGATACAAGACCTGTGTCACTTGGAGACCTTTGATGACCCTAGGGATAGACCCCTCCTCTCTCCTATAGCCCTTACCTGCCTCTCCCAGACCTGTCCTTAAGTGGAGCATGGTGACCCAAGTAAAAATAGAGGCTATGGTCAGCTGCATCAAGTCCAAAGCCAAGGTGTGCTGTGAGTGTGCTGTGTGGTCTCAGGCGTCTATCCCTCTCTGACCCTCAGCTTTACCCAGGGAAGGTAAGCCTTAGGCCTGGAGCTGATGTGACAATGCTGTGACAATCCTGCTACCTAAGAGCTCCCCAAATGTTCACTGTGGGCAGAGGTGAGGGACCTGGAATCCAGGTGCCAGACAAAGTGGGGGCAAGGGCGTGTCCTCACTCTCGAGAGATGCTGCCATGGAACCACTCAGGAATTCCACATTGGGCCAGAGGGCCCACCTGGGTGTGCACGAACCAGTCTAATCGAGGGGGCAACGGTGGGGGCAGCTTCCTGGCTTCAGTCATGGCATCCAGCAAAGAATGTCAGTTCTGGGGAGAGAGAGAGCAAGTCAGGCATCTGAGCTTGGTCCACGTCTCTTTGCTCTGACTTTGAACCTGTGGTACCTCCTTTACTGGGAAGCCTTCTGAGTGGTCAGACTCACAAAGGCAATAAAGAAAATGGAAAGTTAAAAGATGTTAGAAGGATATGAGAATGGAGATATCTTATTAAGAAGGATTTATGTATGAAAATTATGATGGCTGGATATTTCCAGAATTGACAGAAAAAATGAGAAAGCCTAAGCAAGTGATGGAGGTCTGTGTAGGTTTGTTATGATTTATCAAGGATGAGACAAAGATAATATATAAATAATCTTACAATTTCTAAGGTCATAGCTTAGTCAAGTAGTTTAAGGATGTCTAGTAAAGGTTTATTTAAGAATGTTGTCCAAGCTTTATCCACAGAGCACATGGTAATGAAAAGTACCAGACTGGTGGAACTAACCCTCTTGGGTGTTTAACAGCCAAACTTTGACGCCTGTACTAATCTGGTCAGAGGGACTTAAAGGGACAATTTTTTGTTCCTTGCCCTCCAGGGTCGACTAAGTTCCAGGGGACTATGGAACATTTTTCGAAATGTCCTGTAACTGTGGTGAGTCACCTGTCCTCTTGTTCAGGGAGGCCATGGAGACACCAGAAGATGGATTTGAACCAATGTCCAGTCTTCAAAGAGGAGGATCAACACAGAGGAACATTTCCTCCATGCTTCCAAGTGAAGCAGTCATGGTCAAGTAGGACCTTTGACTTATCTTCACATAGATGGAACTGGTAAAAGAAAGGAGCCAGGGGCTCCTCCCAAGCCCATGTAACCCTTGAGGAACAGATCCTCAAACAACCTTAAGAGTTAAAAATAAATTGGTTTATTTGGGCCAACAGTATGGTCTTAAACACCCAAAGGGAAAGTATAACCTAAGAGTAAAGTCATCAGTATATTTCTTTAAGAGTTCAAGGGATTACATATCCCAGACATTAGACTTTTCTTATAAGATGTTATTTAGACAATTATCTCTCATTGATGATTTTGTTCCTAATAAGATGTTACTCAGATGTAAGACTTCAAATTGTGGTCTGCAATACTGTAGTGCCCACCTACAGCTGAGGGAGGGAACCCACTATTGTTCTAGCCTGAAAATTAAATGATGGCTGAATTTGTTTTCTCTCCCTATCTAGAGGCCATTTAAGAGGGAACTGATTCTAGCCACTCCAACAGCTATCAAAGTGCCTAAAAACAAATCCTGAGTCCATCACTCTCGAGTCCAGCCTTGGCAAACAAAAGGAAAATGAGGAGGAACCCAATAGAGTGATGCTTTTGGACGCCCTCATCAAAAAATTCCAATGGACTTTAATTTGGACATTTGAAATTTGCTCTGTTCTGGCTTTTTTCTGGTTCCTTGTATAGAACTAGTAATACTAACTACTCTTGCCTTTACTTCTCCTTCACATCTAAGCACCAGTCAAGGACCTTCTTTTCTCCCTATAGTTAAGAGTTATGCAATTTTGGAGTCTTTTAGATAGACCCACTGAAGGGGGTACCCCAGTTGCCTCACCCTGCATCCCTGTTCAGCATGGAAGAAGCCAGAGCGGTCTGCCTCCCAATTCCCTATCTGCAATTTGGGTAAACCTCTTCAGAGGATGGTGTGATAATAATAGGAGGTAGGCCAGGCATGGTGGCACACACCTTTGATCCCAGCACTTGGGAGGCAGAGGCAGGTGGATCTCTGTGAGTTCAAGGCCAGCCTGTTCTACATAGTGAGTTCCACACCAGCTGGGGCTACAAGGAGACCCTGTCTAAAAAAAAAAAAAAAAACAGGAGGTAGGAATTGGCTAGGCAGTTAGGGTAAAAAGACCCCAAAGAAAATTAGCCAGTTTCTTTCTTGGCTAAAAGTCAAATTGCCCTTGGGCCTTTTAGCAATGTACTCTGTTCCAAAGGCCAAAAATGTTAAAAGTATTTTGGAGCTTATATCCCTAAAAGATTTAGGGTTACCTCTTCAGAGGGGGAATGTTAGAGTATCAATAAACCCCATAAATTGAACTGGTCCAGACTACAAAAATGTTTATCTGTTGGAAGACCCACTTTTCTAGTCTCACTGGTCAATTACCTGGTGATAGAACCACTCCCAGGAAGGCAGGTTCACCTTAAGTTATGGTAAATAGACGGGCAGAATACCTGTGTGTTAATAAGGATCTAGCTCAGATCCCCACAGAACTTCCAGACCAGCCACAGTGATATTGAAGACACCTGCTCTCCAATTGCTCTCATACCTAGACTAACTCTACACATGCTGGGAGAGGTGTATGATTTCTTATCCACAAAAACAGAAGGGACCAGGACAAAGATCAGCCACCCTGGCAGTCCTAGTAGGAATCAGTCTGGTGACATCAGTAGCAGCCACTGAACTTGCGGCTGGAGATCTGGGACACACTGATCTCAACCCAGCATCTCTCCCAGGAAATAGAGGACCCCAGGCAGGAACTCACCACAACAGTGGAAACTACAGCCCAGTCGATCCAGATTTTACAACTGTCCTCCCTAGCCGAAGTTGCCCTCCAGAACAGGTGAGCCTTGGATCTATTAACTGCAGAAAAAGGGGGAACCTATATTTTCTTGGGTGAAGAATGCTGTTACTATGTCAACCAATCAGGTAAGATCTAGCATGATATAAAACGCCTCCAGCAGGTAGACGAGGATCTCTCACTTAGAACTTCCCAGTACCAGCAGTCACCTCAGTGGGATAGTTTTACAGGACTGACTTCCTGGCTTCTACCCTTACCCCTCTGCTTTCTATTACATTGGCGCTAACCATTGCTCCTTGCCTCTTCAGATATTTTCAGGGCCGGATTCAACAACTAACTCATACTAATTTTAAACAGCTGTTACTTTCCTTCCTTCCACATGTATACAAGTGCCTGTTCACCATCGAGGACCCTGTTCAGATGCACAAGGTGGAAACCCCCGCTGTCTAACTGATCCCTAATTTAGCCTCCCCCACCTCGACTGTGTTCAGTAGGAAGCAGCAAGATGACAACGCCCCCCCTTCTTATAACACAAAAGGCTGGAATGTTAGGGCTTGGATCTGTGGCAACCCCCTCCCCAGTGCAACAGGGCCTCATGGTTTTGCTAGCCCTCTGAAAATACAGGAACTGAGTTAATGGGCACCCTGACTGCCTGTAGACAAGATAAACAGATTCCATACACCTATGACCCAAGACCTGATTGCTGCAAGAGCTGTCTCAGCACAGCCTGCTTCCCCTTTGATAATCTTAGAAGACAAACAGACCCTTGCACCCCAGACCCAGTGACATAGGAGCTGTCTCAGTACAAGCTACTTCCCCCTGATAAGTTTCACAATGTATAGACCCCTTATCCCATGACCCAGATCTTGGTTGACGGAAGGAGGTGGCTTGACAGAGACTGTTCTCTCCTGATAAGCCCTGGCCTCGCTCTCACCTGCCTAACTTGTTTAAAAATATTTTCCTGCCTTCTGCATCCCCCAAACCCCCTATAAAAGCCCCCAGCCAACAGCCTGTAAACTGACAGTTCCTCTATCCCAAATTAGGAGACTGTCCTGTGCATTTTCCCTGCCAATAAACTCTATCCCACCCGAGTTCTTGTCTGTGTCCTGGTGCTATCTCCCCATTTGACTCGATTTATCTATCAGCCACAGTGGCTTTCTTGACACAGGGCTGGAGATAATTGATTTCTTTGCTTCCCCTCAGGGCTGCATGGCACAGGCTGGCCTAGAGGATGAAAAGCTGTTGCAGGTGAAGGGCTGAATGAACTAACAGTTTACCCCATTTTCTTCTCTCAAGACATCCTCACTCCACCCAAACCCATCTGGTCCTCCATCCCTCGCTCACCTCTCTCTGGCTGTCTCCAAGTTTCTTTCTTTCTTTTTTTTTTTTTTTTTTTTTTTTTTTGGCTTTTTGAGACAGGGTCTCCCTGTAGCCCCAGCTGTCCTGGAGTCACTATGTAGACCAGGCTGGCCTTGAACTCACAGAGATCAGCCTGCCTCTGCCTCCCAAGTGCTGGGTTTAAAGGCGTGCGCCACCACGCCTGGCAAATTTCATTTTTTTAATGCTTTTTTTTTTGAGACATGGTCTCACTATGTCACTGAGGCTGGCTTCAAACTTGAGATACTCCTGCTTCAGCCTCTGTGTTGAGATGACAAGCGTGGATTACTAAACCAGACAGCCTTTTGAGGTCCACTCTTCCAGGAAGCCCTCCTCCCTCCTCTGCTGCCTCTCGCCCCGACCCTCCTTTCTCCTCTGGCCCAGCCCCACCCCTTGCTGGACTCCTTGCAGCCAGTCCACGTGGATGCATACCTGGGAGGAGGCCGGCAGGGGCCAGGAGACATCGAAGAAACCTAAGGAGCCTAAGTTTCGATTCCGGTTCAGGGTCTGTACGTCAGCAGGGCAGGGCGGGGTGGGTAGCCCCAGACAGTTCCTGTTTCCTCCTGCAGGTGAATGGTGCAGTAACAGGACAACCAGGGTCTCTGTCTACAGCCCCAGCTGCATGTGGAGCACAGCCGGTTCCCACCAGGTGTTCCCTCAGTGCTTGTTGTGGAGCCTGGCCCCTCCTTCCCACCATCAATTTCCTCTGTCTCTCTCCCTTCCCTTTCCTTCCCTTCTTTTCTTTTCCTTTACTTTTTTGAGACACTGTCTCATGTAGCCCAGGCTGACCTAGAATTTGCTAGGTCAAATTCTGAGGATGAATTTGAACTCCTGATCCTCCTCTCAGCCTCCTAAGTGCTGGGATGTCATGTGTGTGCACCACAAGTTTATGCAGTGCTAGAGAGGAACCTGGGATTTCATGTATGCTAGGTAAGCACTCTACCAACTGAGCTCCAAGCACTCTACCCACTGAGCAACTTCCCAGCTCCTGGTATCAACATTATCAAAACAAGTGAAAGATTATCACAGCCCTAAAGTGTACACCTGTCAGTCAGGAAATGGGGGAATGGCAGTCAGAAAAAATCCTAAAGGGCAAGGGGGCAAATAGGAGACTACTTGATGGATGTGAGGTGCAGGAATGGTGTGTAGACTGACTAGGAATAGCATGTGCAAAGGCCCTGTGGCTGGGCCGAGGCTGCTCAGGACAGCCTCATCACACACTGTCGACGTTCTGCAAAAACATGTTTGAAATGACATTCCACAATTGTGTTGCTCTCCAGATAACCTAAGCTAGAAATAATTTGATGGTACAAGTTTATAATCCCAGCATTTGGGAGACTGAGGCAGGAGGATTGGGGATGCTAGGATAGCCTGAGCTACATAGTGAGACTATCTAAAAAACTAAAAACAAAACAGCCAAAACCAGTGTAGACGAAAGTGTTACTCTATTGTTTTCTTCTGATTTTTTAAAAAATATTTTTAATGTATTTTTCAAATGTACATGAGTCTATTGCCTGCATGTGTGTAAGTGCAGCCGTTGTAATGCAATGCCCTTGGGGAGTTGAATTCACCTGGAACTGGAATTATTGATGGTTGTTAGCTATGTGGGTGCTGGAAATTGAACCTGGGTTCTGGAAGAGCAGCTAGTGCTCTTAACTGCTGAGCCATCTCTCCAGCTCCTTTTGATTTGTTTGTTTTCTGAGATAGGCCTCACACAGATGAAGTTGGTCCAGGGCTAGGTTGTAACTAAGGGTGACCTTGAATTTGGGAGCCTTCACCTCCCAAGCCCTGGGGTGACAGGCATGTCACCAGGCTATTCAGTGCTGGGGAGGAGCCCTGGGTGGCAGATGTGCATCATCACACTATGCAGGGCTAGGATGAGCCCAGGGATTTGTGCATTAGGTGAACGCTCTAATACACCAGCCGCAGCCCCATTCCCATGCCTGACTTTTCTGATTAAAATGAACTAAAATATTGTGGGGGCCTCTGGGGCCTGCCCTTGGGAAATGTCTCTCAGTGTGGAACAGGAGCAGGCCTTGGCAGCCAGCTGCCTGCCCCACCCTCTTCTGGCTCAGCATAGAGGCAAAACCACTTCCTCCTGTCTGGGCCTGTGAAGATACTGTCAAGTTGGGGGCCTCCTTGACCCCTTGCTCTTCCTGGGAGGTGTGGGGTTTGTGGAAGTCTTTGGGCCATAAAGGCCAAGCAGGAGACATTTTGAAAGCCAGCTCTTCCCTCACCCATTGTACAGCCTGGAGTTACTTGGCCTCACCCCGCCTCCAGGTCTGCATCCAAGAACTGGGTAGGTCAGTTACTACAGTCATTCAAGCCAGGGGCAAGGCACTCAGCTGGCTTTTGTGGCCCCGGGTGAGATGCAGGCCTGGTCCGGTTTCTAGGGCTGGGTGAGTGACCTCTCTGCTCCTCCTCATACTCTGTGGCTCCCAGCCTCCACTGGGAAGGGAAGAGACAGGCTCCCTGGCTGTCACCTGGAGGGTCTGGCCTTTGGGGCTCCTCTCTACATGGAGTTCAGAGTTTCTGGGAACATGGGGTCTTGGCCCTTTGTCTACCTCACTTCCTCTAAGCCACCTGGGGGCTGCGGTCTCCCACAGAGCAACATCCTCTGTGAGACTTCTATGTGTACAGGAAGGAAGGGGGCAGTGTGGCCAATAGGGAGATAACCAGAGCTGGGGCTAGCAAGATGGCTCAGAGGGTAAAGGTGCTTGGCACACAAGCCTGGCTGGAGACCCGAGTTTGATCCCTGGGACCCACATGAAGGTGGAAGGAGACACAGATACCACGGAATCATGTCCTGACCTCCACACATGCACCATAACATGTACACAAATAACTTTTTAAAAGTTCAAGGGGCTGGAGAGATGGTTCAGTGGTTACAGACACTTTCTGCTCTTGCAGAGGACCTGAGTTCAGTTCCTAGCACCCATGTCGAGATTCACAGCTACCTGTAACTGCAGCTCCAGGGAATCTGATGCCCTCCTACTTGTGGTGCACCCACACAAATATTAGAAACAGACGAGGCGCGGTCTTGAGTGCCTTTAATGCCTGGGTTCTGCCTTTAACGCTGTAAGGTGGCATACCCATCATCCTAGCACTGGGGAGGTGGAGGCAGGAGGGTCAAATATTCAAGGCCACCTTGGACTGTGTGAGATTCTGCCCCACAGGATCATGTCATGAAGTCATGGCCAGAGCCTGAACCAAGGGTGCTGCTGATCCTGGGACTTTTGGTCTTCTGACTGATGAGCTAGATAGACCTATTTGCTTCACAGAGGAGCCTGCCTCAGACATTTCCTAACAGTAGAGAAAAACAGACCGAAAGGGCACAGTTATATGCTCAGTCCAAGCGAAGTAATAACGTGGGGGTGTCTTGGATATTCCCAGCAGGGTAAAGAAAATGACCTGGTGAGCCAGGCCTTGAGGATCTGCTAGGGAGGACAAGAATCTCAGTGGTGGCCTTGAACTCCAGGCCTTAAGCTGCCCTCCTGCCCCAGCCTCCCCAGTAGCTGGGACTACAGCCTTGTGCCACAGTTCTTGGCTGAGTTTATTGGTTTAGGTGCTGGGGCTGGAACCACCTTGAGCAGGCCGGGCCAGCACTCAGCACAGAGCTGCACCTCCAGTACTTTTATTTACTGTAGTTATTTGTACGTGTGCCTGGGAGCACGTGCATGTGGAGGCCTTGAGTCCTCTTGCTCACCAGCTCTCTGTCCTCTTCACTGAGACAGGCCCTCTAACAGCCTGGAGTCACCCACTAGACTGCAGCGATTGGGGAGCTTCAGCGGTGGTTGTAACTTGCTCATCCCTAGAATTACAAGTGAAGGCCACTGGGTGCCGTGGGTCAGGGGTCAGTCTCAAATTTCTGAATCCTCTTCCTAGTCTGAAGCCCACTTTAAAAAAAAAAAAAATAAGGTTTATTGGGGCTGGAGAGATGGCTCAGTGGTTAAGAGCATTGGTTGTTCTTGCAGAGGATCTAGGTTCAGTTCCCAGCACCCACATGGCAGCCAACAACTGTAACTCCAGTTCCAGGGGATCCAATGCTTCTTCTGACCCTCATGGGCACTGCATGAACATGGTGCATTTGCATACATGCATGCAAAACACCCATATACATAAAACTTAAAAAACATATGTTGGTGTTCTCAGAGGCCAGAGGTGTCAGTCAGATCCCCTGGAGCTGGAGTTAGAGGTGGTTGTAAGGTGCCTGATGTGGGTGTTGGGAATTGAACTCGGGTTCTCTGTAAGAGCAGTAGGCATTCTTAACCACTGAGTCAGCCCCCACCTCCACTTTATTTTTATTTTATGTGTACGAGTGTATTCTCTGCATAAGTGCATCTGTTTGTGCAATGCCCATGGAGGTCAGAAGAGGGCACTGTATCCCCTGGAATTGGAGTTACAGACAGTTGTTAGCTGCTGCCATGTGGGTGCTGGGAACTGAACCCAGGTCCTCCTCAAGAGCACCCAGTGCTTTTAACTACTGAGCCATCTCTTCAGCTCCCAGTCCCCCACTTAAAAAAAGATTTATTTTTGTGTATTGGGGTACATGCACATGAGTGCAGGTGCCAGTGGAAGTCAGAAGGGAGCCATTAGATCCTCTTGAGCTGGAGTTATACGCAGCTGTGAGCTGTCTAATGTGGATGCTGGGAAGCCAACTCAGGTCTTCTGAAAGGGCTGCAAATGCTCTTAACCTCTGAGCCATTTCTTCTCCAAACCATATTTAATAAAAGGTGTCCACTGAACCTGCAACCCAACATGGCCACCTGGATTCTAGGTACACTGTGGCGTGAAACTGTTCCCTTTAAAATGTGTTTTAATCTGTTTTCCTTAAGTGCACTGGTCAGTGGGAACAGGGCACATTAGAGACTCCGAGGAAGGGCTGACTATTGCTGGTATGTTGGTTTTAATTTCAAAAAAAGGGGGAGAAACCCCATGTCAATGGACTGACAGTGGCTTGGGGGGAGGGTTAAAGTAAAAAGGAGGGGCTCCCAGGTATCTGGTCCCAACTGCAGCCTCCCTGAGAGGGCAGAGTTCTCAAAACACAAGAGCAACAACCACCGGACTTCGGGGCAGCCTGTCGCCACAGAATGCCTGTCTCAGCCTCAGGGGCCAGGAGCCCACAAGTGGGAACAGCCTTGGGCCCTGTGCAGCAGGAACAGGCAGTCACATCTGTACCCCATCGCTTGGGTCTGCTGCTGGAAAATCAAAGACGGAATCACTTCATGGCATTAGGAATCTGGAAAAATAAAAAGTAATCTCAGCTAGAAAAAGAAAGCATCCAATCGATGTGCAGCCGGGGGAAGGGTGAGGAGAGCGGAGGCTGCTTCAGTGCCACTGAGGTGGGTGACCAGATGATGGGGTGAGTGGTGGCCATTCCTTGGGCCACAGTGTCCCGTCGGTGCTGGACTGTAGACTCTGCCTGGTTGTGGCCACATGAGCTGTCCTCTTCTGTCCAAACCCTCTACGCAGATTTTCCTTAATTTGTGCTTCCCTTTGGTTTGACAAGTAAAAACAGGAGATGGGGACATGGTTTTCGTCACTTGTCCAGAACTGAGAGAATGGCCACCAGGAGTGGCAGGCAGGAACCTCCAGGACTGGCGCACGGTGGCATCGGTGGCATCGCAAGGTGCCAGGCACTGCCACTGACCTTGCTCCCATGTTGGAGGGACAGGCTGGCTGGTGCATTGACTGTTGGGTAGGACAGGAACAGAAGGCATCCCCACTCCACCTCTCTCCACCTTTTGGTGATGTGACAGGGATGGATGGGCCCGACTGGAGGATGACACAGGAAAAGTAGCAAAATTCTAACTTGTTCCATCTCTGAAGGTGAAAGGATCAGACAGTTACTAAAATAATCAATTTCTTAATTGTGTTCGGGTAGCCGTGGCCCAACGGTGGGGTGGTGGAGGCTCGCCCGGGGCAGGCACAGTCAGTGGGGCTGAGAAGGCTCAGTAAGGCGGGGTGTTCACAGAAGAACACACCGGAAGAAGCTGCTCTTCTTCTGCTGCTCGGCTGTGATCTTGACTCCCTGGCTGCTCCCCTGGGGGCTGTTGCCTTCCTGAAGTCACAAGACATTTGTCTGTGTTGTTATCACCTGCCAGCCATTTATCCAGCCAGTCCGCCAACTGCCTGCCACTGTCCAACTAACCACCCCATCACCCAAAATCCAACCATCCGCCATTCATCTATCTACTCAACCACCCTCCACCTTTCCATCCATCCTCCCTTCCCATCCCTCCCAATCCATGCATCTCCTCATCCACCCACCAACCCACCCCCCATCATTCGTCTGTTCCCTACAAACCGAACAAGCACCGTTCATCCCCTCATACACACATCATCTAACCACACCCACCTGTCTATACACCCATTCACTATCCAATCATTTCCTTTGAACCATCCATTTACCCACTATTCAATCAGTCCGTTCACCCATCCATCTCCCCATCTATCCTTCCATGCATCCAGTCTCTCCCATCCACACAAACTCTTCTAACCACCTGTCATCTCATTCTATCAGTCCTCATCCTCTCATGCACCCCCTTCCAAACAAACATGCTGCTGTTTTCTCCGCATGACAGTTCATTCCCTTTCATAGACCCAAGGATCTGCTTTACCTGCCCACAGGCTCTTGCCCTTCTCTCCCCCAACATACCCCTCTCCACATTTTTCTGCTCCTTGCTCCTACTGGGGATGGGACCTAGGACCTCATGCATGCTGGCCAAGTGCTCTATCACTGAGTTACATTCCCGGAGGTACAGACCTTTCAACAATTATTCACTTTTTGTCCAGTTCGGCTGCCCCATGTGCCCCAGTAGGCCCAACTACTGCCAGGACACAGTACCTAAACTCTAATCTTTAAAAAATCATAAAATCTACACTTTTTTTTTTTTGTGTAAGTGCATGTGTGGAGGTCAGAGGACAACTTGCGGGAGTGGGCTGGTTCTTTCCTACTACCACGGGATCCCAGGGATCCAACGCACGTCATCAGACTTGGTTGGTGGCAAGCACCTTTACCACTAAGCCACTGGTCCAGGACTCCAATTCTGATCATGTTATGTTGAATAAAAAAAAGTATGTGGGAAACTCTGTGCTGCATGTTGTTTATAGAAACAGCAACCACATAACAGTGGCAGAGGAGCCAATGAGACAGCCCTGGGCCTTGCTGGCCTCTCATAGCTGGGGATGAATGGTAGTTAGTGGGATTAGAGTGACTTGAAGGACAAGTCATATATAATTTTTTAAAAAATATTTTATTTATTATTTTTATTTTATGTGTATTCGTGTATTGCCTGCATGTAGATAAGTGCACCCATGTTGTGCAATGGCTGAGGAGGACAGAAGAGGCCATCAGATCCCCTGGGACTGGAGTTACAGACAGTTGTTAGCTGCCATGTGGGTGCTGGGATTCGAACCCGGGTCTTCTGCAAGAACAGCCAGTGTTCTTAACCGCTGAGCATCTCTCCAGCCCGGGACAGCTCATATTTTATGTGCAGTTGGATGAGCAGAACTGTGAGAGCCCCACGCTGAGCACTCTGCTCTCTGGCCACATGGTGGGGTAACTTGGCTGGGGTGGGGCAGGCATAGAGGGGTGGGGTTGCACTGTACCCCAACATCTCCAAGCTCCAGTGATGTGCTTGATTCAGGAGAGCACTGCACAAGCTAAGGGAGACTGCATTCAAAACAGCAGGAGCCTGGGGCTGGAGAGATGGCTCAGCAGTTAAGAGAATGGGCTGTTCTTGCAAAAGACCTGGGTTTGGTTTCCAGCACCCACATGGCAGCTAACAACCACTTGTAACTCCAGTTCCGGGGGATCTGATGCCTTTTTCTGACCTCTGTGAGCACTGCACAACACATGTGCACTTACATACATGCAGACAATATACTCATACATATACAAAATAAAATAAAAAGGGGTTAAAGGGGAAGGGAGGAGGGCTGTACAAAGAACTGGGAATAAAGGGGAAGAAGAGCTCAAGAGAGGTGGGACCACAGCATAGGAATTATCGAGGGAGAAGTGGGGAAAACGGGGACACTTTAAATGGGGAGGATGGGGAAAGACAGGGAGAGAAAGAGGAGAGATAAATAGTGCCCAACTAGTATAAAAAACCAGAGGGAATTGTATTAGTCCAAAAACCTACTGAGAAATTACTCATACGGTATCCCCACATGAGTCTGTGAGCACAGCTGAAGGCTACATGACAAGAAACAGGGACAGACAGGAGAAACCTTCCTTTGAGTTGTTGGCCAGGGTAGTCCAAGAGACTCCCGCAAATTACACAGGCTATTACCACGGTCCTTGATGGCCTCCCAGAACTTCATGATAAAAGCCTATTGCTGAAGACGGGACATAGTTTCTACACAGGATTTAGAGCAACGGAGCTGGGACTGACCTGGACGCCACCTCCCCTGAAGGCCAGCTCTCATAGCTTTGGAGAGCACTATGCAAGCTGACAAGGGAGCACATCAATTCATGGTCCAACTCCAGCTTCAAGGCCTAAAAACCACATCAATGACTAGCACAACAAATGACACTGGTGCAGTAGTGGCACTTTTATCTTGGGAGAAATCAACAGCTACCTAATTGGACTAAAGCCCACTCAATGGGAGGAAACTCACGTCTGCTATTGTAAACCTAGCCAAATACACAGCTGGAGAGGTCAGAGATCTTAGAGAAAACTCCAAGTCTGTCACATCCCTAGATGAATGTAATTTCTTACTATGTACAAAATATGGATCCTTAAATTTATAGACAAGTATCCCAGTCACCACCCATCAAAGAAGCTTCTTTTTCAAGAGACAGAGATAATTACAGAACTCCACAACCGGTCACACACAGAGATTGTCTATGACTTGCCCAAGTCTAAATGGCACATCTAAGAAATGTGCAGCCTCTACACCTAAAGCTCACAGAGCATAGACAAGGGATGAAGAGAACACTAATGCATCTTTCAACTCTCATCAGTGAAGCTCCCTCATCAACAGAGGGCCAGGAACACAAAGTCCACAAATGGCCAAAATGCAGAGAATAAGTCTGCAGAATGTGGGTCTTTGTACAGGTCCCACATATTACAATCCACCTGCCCAGGGCTCAGGAACCATTGTGGAAGAGGGCTGAAAAGATTGTAGGAGCCAGGGAGGAGGTGCAGGACCGTACACAAAGTCCTACAAGCTCCTGGGACCCTTCGCATACAAATCTACAGCAATGGCTTCAGCATGGACAAGACCCACGGAAACTTTAGTAGATAAAAACCCAGCACATAACTGTGGAAATGAACAGTAGACCCCAATCTTAGTCAAAGAATTATCGGCAGCTGATTAGTGCTGGGTGAGGAAGAGCTGATCTTCTTAAAGAGAGGGACTCTAGACAGGCTGACTAGACCCCAGTGGATGAACTTGCACTGAAGGACATCTGGAGACACTAACTTTACATGATGGGCCTTAACACAAATGACAGAATGTATGAACTCCAGTGGGGGGCCTATGGGAGGGTGCAAAGAGGAAGGTATAGAGATGATTTTATGTATGAAATACACAAAAATTAAATAAAAAAATCTATATATAACAAAGGCAGCAGGAGCCAAGCACAGGGAGGTGTTGGGTGTGGCTGTTGCAGGGGGCGGGGGACCTGGAAGGTGCTGGGGACAGTTGGGCAGGTGATATTTGCCTAGGGCATTTGGTCTATAAAGCCCACAAAAGAAAATGAAATACAGAAAACCAATTAGAGGGAGGATAGCGAGGGATCTTTAAAGTCCCCCAGGAGGGAGCCTGGGAGTCCTGTGACTTGAGGTCCTCACACTCAAACCTGGCAGGAACTGGGTCTAGGGAAAGGTCAAGGATCCTCTGCACGTATGGACCCAGGCCCGGCCTTGTCTGAGAGGTCTGGGGAACACGCTTTTTTTCCGAAAATCTGGTATTGTTTCTGTGTCCCCCAGAATACATGGTTGGAAACTTAGAAATGGAATCCCCCAATGGTTGTGGTGGTGCACGCCTTTAATCCCAGCACCTGGGAGACAGAGGCAGGTGGATCTCTGTGAGGCCATCCTGATCCACACAGTTACAGGCCGGGCGGAAGCTACAGGAGATCCTATCTTAAAACAAAACAACAGAAAAGACAATCTCCCACATAGACTAGTGGTACTAGGAGGGGGGGCCTGCAGGAGGTGCTTCAGATCAGATGGAGATGGGAGTGGCCATTATGATGGCAAAAAGTTTGTAAGGGAGGAACAGAGGCTGCCAGCTAGTAACCACTCAATGTCACCATGGCCCACCCTGTGCTGTGAGGTTGTCCTCTGACACACATACACACACACACACACACACACACAGACCACTTAATATCACCATGGCCCACCCTGTGCTGTGAGGTTGTCCTGACACACACACACACACACACACCACTCAATGTCACCATGGCCCACCCTGTGCTGTGAGGTTGTCCTCTGACACACATACACACACACACACACACACACACAGACCACTTAATATCACCATGGCCCACCCTGTGCTGTTAGGTTGCACACACACACACACGCACAATAAATAAAATAAAACAGCACACAAACCCCTTAGTAGATACCAGCAATGCTATCGGATTCCCCATTCTCCAGAATTGTTAAACAACAAACTCAGATTCTTTTCTTTTGAGACAGGGTCTCACTATGTCACTCAGGCTGGTCTCAAAATCATGATCCTCCTGCCTCAGTCTCCTGAGTGCTGGTATGACTAGTATGGGCCAGCATGCCCAGCTATAATAAAACTCTATAAATGATCTAGCCTCAGGGGTTTTGTTATAGCAACAGAAAATGATAAAAAAAAAAAAAAACAACCTTCAGACAAGTGGCAAAGTCTGCCACCAGTACCTGAACCACACTTACAAACTCCACACCCTTCTCAGATTTGCTCGGCCTTAAAAGGCAAGACTGGGGAGATGGCTCAGTCAGTTAAGTATCTACTGCCTAAGTGTGGAGTTCATGGCTCAGAAGCCACATAAAGAAGCAGGGTGTGGGTCTGGAGAGCTGGATCGGTGGCTAAGAGCATATATGGTTTTGTAGAGGACCCAAGTTTGGGTCTGTTCACCTGTAACTAGCTCCAGGGGATCTGAGGTACCTGCACTCACATGTGCACATACTCACACACATACACATAATTTAACAACAACCCCCCCCCCAAAACTACAGGTGTAGTGGTGCACACCTGTAACCCAGTGGTGCGGAGATGGGGCTCTCTGACCAGCCTAGCCTAACCAGTAAGCCTGAGCCTCAACAAGACTCTCAAAAACTACAGTGGAGACTGCCCGAGGAAGATGCCTGACACCAATCTGATTCCAAATACACATACATGCATGGGCACGTATGCACACATGCACATACACACATAGCAGGCCTGGGCCACATGGATGGCTGTAGCCCACAGCAATGTGTGAAGACCCAAGAAGGAATCATACTCACCAATTTCTTGTCCATTTTTGCTTTGATATCTCTGGCGAGGGTGAAGAATGCCTGTGGAAAGAGCAGGCCATCCACACCCTTGAATGGTTGGACCTGGTTCTCAGTGTGGGCGTGACAGGGTAGAGACAAAGGTGAGGCTTCCCTTGGTCCTCCCTCCTGTTTTTACCCTGCCTCACATCCACCTTTTGTAGAGTGCCTTGGGTACAGGGCTGTTGTGTGGCCACCTCCCCCAGGTCAACAGCCCCATGAGCTAGAATTATACTCAGCTAGCCCCCATGGACAGGGCCTCACAGGAACCTGTGACTTGCACAAAGGTATCAAGTGGTTAACTGGCTGATCCAGAAAGGCCTGGAAGGATCCGGAAGGAGTGCCTAGCTCTCTGTTCCTGGCTGTGTTCTGCCTCCTTTGAGATGCCATCTCATGTAGCTCTCAGGTTGGTTTCTAACTCACTATGAAGCCAAGGATAACCTTGAATTCCTGACCCTCCTGCCTCAATCACCTGAGTTTGGGATGGCAGGTGTGTGCCACCACGCCTGGTCACCCTTTCTCTTGTTTAACAAATAAATGCTCCTTTGGCTATTCTGGGCCCAGAAAGGGACAGAGATGAACTGGATTCTGCATTTGCATGCAGTTTCTTGACAGAGGATGAATTTCAGCATGCCCCTATGACCTGCTAAGTTCAGCTGTGCAGGTGCTGGGGTGCTGAGGGGCCCTGAGGGCCTTGGGTGGTGCCATTGTGGGCTGGCCTTGATGAGGGAGCAGCCTGGGTGGTTTATGGAGGAGTGGCAGGTGAGAGCCAAGAGGGGCAAGGGCTGTGCTGCTGCCCTCTGGGGCCTATGCAGTGATACGGAAGAGCTAGGGTTTCTTTTTTCTTCTTAAGACACGGTCTCTTGCTACATAGCCCAAGCTGGCCTCACTTAAGGCAGTATTCCACCTCAGCCTCCTGAGAGTTGGGGTTACAGGAGTGTGCCACGATGCCTGGCTCTGGAGGTCTGTGTTCAATTTCATCCAGGGCATGTGAAGGAAGGGTCTTGGGTATTGCCTTACAGACAGCACAAGCTCCAGGACCCAGCTGGGCAGGGCTACTTCCTCCACCTGGCTCCCAACTGGGTCTGTGGGTGAGGGACACTGGCTGAGATGAAGCCAGAGATGGGACTGGGTGCCAGCAGGGGGCGCCCCGAGTCTGAGGGCACCTCCTGTCTCAGAACTTACGTTCTCCACGTTGATGTTGGCCTTTGCACTGGTTTCCATGAACTTGATCCCGTAGTCAAGGGCCAGCTGTGAACGGGGGAACAGGCATATTATCCTCCACTGGCTTCCTGGGAATTGGGAGCTGGGGCGGGGCTGGCATGGAGCTGGGGCAGTGATAGGCCAGACTGGGCTGAGGGTGTTACCTCCACTGTGTGAGAGCGCTAGGGTGGCCAATCCCTGAGGCAGGGTTCCACACAGCACTTAGTGAGGAGGCAGCTGAGCAGGGCAGAGCAGAGGGGCCTGGGCCACAGCAAGCTCTGCCCCCTGAAGTTGCTATGGCACCTCCCTGCGTGGTCTCAGTGGACTCTACTGATACACATGGAGTATGCAGGGCACACCAAGCCCTTCCTGCCCGCTGAGCAGCCTCTTGTCTCCAGCCCTGCCCAGGGCTCACGCATTACTGGGGTGTCACCTGGTTTCGAGTCCTTACCATCATAGGCAAGACAGGAAAGTGTGTCACCCTCCACTCATCAAGACTAAGAAGGAATCCCCCTAGAGCCTGGCTTTTTGTCAGGGAACATGTCAGTTCCCCTTCAATGGACTGCTGTCTTTGGACTGGCCAGCAGCAGCACCCACCTTTTCTCCCCGCTCCTTGGACACCTGTCTCTTGTCATTGACGTCACACTTGTTCCCCAGTATCATCTTCTCCACATCTGCAGAGGCATGCTGAGGAGATGGTGAGACAGGTCAGAGCAGTGGGCTGGGGCGGGGGGACCTCTGTATGCTGGAGCTCACAGAGGCTGGGGCCCATGTCCCCAGCCCAAGCCCTTCCTGACTGTGGCAAACAGCTCCAATGGGCTGCGGTCACCAAGCTCCAAGGCCAGGGATCCTGGGTGGGCTGAGATCTAACCCTTCCCATTCCCCTGGTGCCCAGCTCTATAGGAGCCCCAGTATTTTTGTACATATGTATATATTTATGTGTATGTGTGTAAGGTTTGTGTGGTATGTACACAGAGGCAGAGAGTAATTTTTGAGAGTTGGTCTTCCCTTCCACGGTGTGGGTCCTGGGGATGGAACTCAGGTTGTCGGGCTTGGCAACCGGTACCTTTACCCACTGAGCCATCTAACTGGCCAAAGCTCTGAATCTTGCTCAGACCCCTCAAATCTCCACTCTCTCTGGGTTCTGGAAATGGGTTATACCTTAGGCAGCCAAAGCATCTAGCTCAGCCATCACCTAGCCCCGGGCTTGGCTCAACCCTGCCTTTGGAGATGGCTCCCATGTCAATCTGTCCAGTGGCCTCCAGAGGAGGGGGCATCGGAAAGCAGCTCAGTGAGTGACACCTCCTGTCTACCAGAGATTCACTTGGAGTATCCAGAGCTCAGTGCAGCATCTCTCTCCTCTTTTGACTGAGACGGCTTTGGTAGCCTGATGTGGCCTGGCACTGCACTCCAGCTCCTAAACAAAGGGCCCGCCTCTCGGTTGGCTGGGGTGTCCTGAGCCCTGGGTGGGTGGTGCTTCCATGGTGACTTTATAGCAGGGTAAAGTCTGCACCCCGGACTTGTTTAGTCATCAGGGTGGCAGGTGTGGCCAGCCAGGAAGGTGCTGGAATGGGCTGGTGCCGGCTGCCTCCTCGTCCCTCCAGAGTCTCTTTCCACAGCCAGTTGCTGGCCTGAGCAAGCTCACACCCAGCTCCACTGCAGCTCAAAATGTGTGTTTGTGACAGGCCCTTCAAATACAAGGGTCACTGTGGTTCTAGAATCTTCTGCCTACAAATGTCCAAATGCTCACAGTGACCCCAACATGACTGCAAGATAAGCCAAACCCACCATGCGGGTCCTGGGCCAGTAAGAGGCTTGGGTGGACACTGGGTATTCTGGTCCCTGCGCCTTCCACTGCCCTGGCTCCAGAGCTCTGAGGCACCCAACAGAGGATTTGAGGGATGGGGGCCTCACCTCCTCAATGTTCCGAATCCAGTTCCGAATGTTGTCGAAGGACTTCTCGTTGGTGATGTCATAGACCAGCATGATACCCTGGGCAAGTACAGAGGGGCACAGGCTCTGAGGGGCCCTGCAGGGTGAGGACAGTGCCTATGCAGGGGTAGGGGTGTGCCACTGCCCGTCACCTTCCCCACGCCCACAGTGTTCTGGAAGCCAGTCCCCTGGTCTTTCCCTGTCAGTCTCCCCACACCAGTATGCCCCGCTCAGCCACCAAGGTGACACAACCCTGCCTGTGCTTTGTCCCATTGATAGTGAATGGCATGGAGAGATGAGCACCCCAAGAAGCCTAACCCTGCCGTGCCTTCCAAGGGCTCAGAGCAGAGACCTGCTGTCAGTGCCAGGCTGAGTGACCTTGTCAGATCCCTAATGACTGTGGGGACATGGTTTGCAGGTCCCAAGAGGGCCCACTTTCAACCCAGCCTGAGCCCACTGTCTCACTGCTACTGTGAAGGAGGAGAAACTGAGGCAGAGGGAGATGAGACCTTTTTGATTAAGATTGAAGTCCAGGAGACTGGCGTGGTGGCTCATCCCTGCAATCCTAGCAATCGGGGCTGAGGCCAGCCTGAACTACATAGAGATCTGTCAGAGACACACAGACACACAAACAGACAACTGAAGCCCCTGGTAAAGCTGAGACAAAAGAGCTAATGATGCCATTCTGAGGGATTGCCCTCTGACAGTCTGGTACTGCCCTGGATGTCCTCATGGGGTACCCATGGCAGCCCAGTTGGCAGCACCATCGCAAGCCTCCCTGGGAACTAAGCACTCTAGACTTCGAGGCCCATGGCTAGCCCAGGTGCAAGCCCTGCTCGCTCCCCTCCTCTGGGCAGCCCTGTATGGGGTGCCAGCCATATTTGCAGAGCAAGAACATCAAGCAGCTTGCTTAGTAGCAGAGCATTTGCCTGGTGTGTGTGAGGGAGGGCCTGGGTTCCATCTGTAGTTTCAAAACAAAACCAAATCAAACCAAGTAATACGAGCTGGCAGGCTAAGACCCAGGGTGGCTGTCTGCTGCAGTAGGGCTCAGGGGACGGGGCAGGGCGACTATCTACTATCTCGGCCTAGAGAGACCCATCTGGCCCACACAGCCCTCTCCTGGGGGCAGGTATACTTGGGACCTGCCCGGCACCTGAGGCCCTGCACCTTGAGGGACAGAACAGAATTTGTTCTAGTGAGGAACGCTAAGGCTGCAGGCATCGGGGTCATTTCCAGTGTGGTTCTTTCAGGGACACTCTAAATATTTAATGTTGCCATTCACGCCCATGGCTTCCAGGCTCCTAAAGTGTCCCCAGTGTGTTGTCAGCACTGGCCCTGTTCAGGGATTAAAACACATGCACACTGTCCTGGCAGCCTGGTGGCTATGGCACTAAGTGACAAACTAGGCTATGGTAGTGCAGGGCACTAGGGAGGCTGCGATTGTGGGCAGGTGGCTGCCTGCCCTCACAGAAGCCGGGAGACATGTTCTCCTACTCTGTTCCCTAAGTGGAACCTGCCCAGGGCAGGGTTCTTCCTTGCTTACCACCTCCTACATTTCCCCAGGTCATTTGCCTGGTGTGTGTGAAGGAGGGCCTGGGTTCCATCCATAGTTCCAAAACAAAACCAAATCAAACCAAATAATACGAACTGGCAGGCTAAGACCCAGGGTGGTGTCTGCTGCAGTAGGGCTCGGGATGGAGAATACTTGAGTGACGACAAAAGAGGTCTGCCCATGGATCACCCCATCGCAGGCCAACAGTCCTGAACAAGTCCAGCCTTCAAGTTAAGCAAATTCCAGAGACACTGATGTGGCCTGTGGCCCTTCTGTGTTAGGGTGAGCTGGCCCAAGGGCTGGTCTGCACCTGGAAGACTGGCTCCCAGCACTCTATCCCCAAAGAAGGCTGTTTGCACAGCTTAACTCCCACTGGGGATGAAGCCAGGGCGGGATGTACCAGGGATCCCTGTGGGCCATGTGACCTCGTCCTAAAGCAAGCTGGGGTGCCTGATCCTAAGGAATGGGAACACAGGTCCACAGGGACACATAGCCTTCATGTCCTAGCACTTGGGAAGCAGAGGTAGGAAATTTTTTAATTAAAGGCCAGCCTGGACTGCACGGGGAGACCTTGTCTAAAAAACAAAACAAAAAAGGGGTTCTGAGGAGATAGTTCAGTCCAAAAAGTGCTTACCACACAGGCACAAAGACCTGAGTTTGAACCTCAGAACCCACATTAAAAAGCTAGGTATAGTGTATGTGCCTGTAATCCCAGTGCTGGGGAGGTGGAGACAGCTGGATCCCTGGGGCTCACCTGCTATAAGAATAATATGCAAGCTGACCTCTGGCTCCACACTCAAGAGCACACACACATACACGCACAAAACCAACAAAAACCAAAAAACCACCATAAAACAAGTTGGGCATGGTGGTGCACACCTGTCACCCCAGAACCTGGGAGGCCAAGGCAAGGGGTATTTTGAGTTCTAGGCTAGCTTTGGCTACATATTGAGACCTTGTCTTAATTAGACAAAACCAACCAAAATTCAACCATACAGGCTTTGGTACTGCTGCCCACACATGCTCGTTTTCACTTAAAAAACCCAGAGTCTGTACCATGGCGCCCCTGTAGTAGGCTGTCGTGATCGTCCGAAACCGCTCCTGGCCAGCCGTGTCCCTAGAAACAAGAATGGACAGTGTTAGTGACATCTGTGGCCTGCCAGCCACACTGCACCACTTTCTCCCTTGACTCTCTCCTGCTTAGGAAGGAGCTGCCACTGTCCCTTGATGACAGCCCGGGGACCTTCTGACGAATTCTGCTTGTTTCCTGGCTGGGTCACAGGCAAAATATTGGACCATGTCCCTTTCCCTCCTAGGCCTTTGCTTCTGGAGGTTTCTCCCAGAGTATGTGGGTCACAGAGGGCCAAAGCTGATGGCTGCTGCTAGTGAGACCGCAGTCACTGTGGTGCAGCCCTGGCAGTTAGAAAGCACAGGGTAAGCTAGGCTGCTACTCAGATGGTGTGTTCCTGCCTTCTGTGACCACCTTGGTTTAGGTAATGAAAGTCCTCTGAGTGAGGGAAGCCTAGGACAGCTGCAGCCCAGGGAGGTAGTGCCTGAGTTCAGACTCCAGCCTGCCCAGCTCACAGACTGGCAGAAACAGGTGCTGGATGAGATGGCACCCACCTGTCATCCTGTCACACAGGAGGATTGTGAATTCCAGGACAGCCTGGGCTACAGAGTGAGATCCTATCTCAAAATAAAAAAGGGACGTGGTGTAGCTCAGTGGTACAGTGTTTGCTCAGTGTATGCAAGGCCCTAGGTCCACCCCCAGGACTGGAGAACAAAAGTAACTTAGTAGGGACATGTCCCAAGGGCTCTGACCAACTGATCACATAGAAATGCACAGTGCTAAGACGGCTTTCTAGCTCTCTAAATTTTTAATTGTTTTAAATCACATTTGTTTGCTTGTTATTTTTTACCTTGTATGTGTATGCATATGTGTGTGAGAGATAGTACATGTGTGGAGATGAGAGGACAACTTCTAAGAGTCGGTTCTCTCCTTCCACCATGAACTGGGGATGGAGCTCAGGCTTGGTGTCAAGCCCCTCTACTGGCTTTGGATCTCTTATTTTTCTGTGGCGCTGCTTGGCAAGTTCTCTGCCACTGGGCCCCGCCTCCAGCCCTAAAACTACCTTCGACTGTCATTGCTAAGTGCTAGACTGACTTGCTGATGGCACTCCGAGGACATCCATGGGAAGAGTGCTACTCTCAAGCCAGGCCCCAGTCCAGCTACTTGCTCCAGCTGAGACTGCCAAGGGCAGGGGTGGGGAGGGAGGAGCCAGGCAGGCGCCTGGCTTGCTGGGACTGTGTCACTTTGGACTTGGGCACAAAGGCTGCCACCTGGCCATCATGTTGGAAGTACAGGACTTCCATGGATCCTAACTGCCCAACTGCCCACGTCGTCAAGACTGACTGATCAAACCCTGAGGATGGGCAAGGATTCTCCCTTGTCCAGGTTCAAGGCTTGAAGTCAGACTGAGGGGTGAGCACTTGTTTGAGGCGAGGGCACCCAGGAAGCAACTCAGAACTGCTAGCAAGCCAGGATGCTGGCTCTAAAACCCACCCTGGGCTCTCAGCTCCCACTCAGGGGTGCCTAGTTGGCTGGGCACTTGACTAGACTCTTATTTATTTATTTTTGAGATAGGGTTCTCTTAGCCCTGACTGGCCTGGAACTCTGTATAGACCAGGCTGGCCTGAATGAAGCTCACTATGTAGACTAGGCTGGCTTTGATTCACAGAGATCTCTGTGTTCCAAGTGCTATCACGCCCAGCTTTGACCATGCTCTTTGGTTTGGCTTATATATATATTATTATTAAATTTTTTTTTGGTCTTTTTTGAGACAGGGTCTCCCAGTAGCCCCAGCTGGCCTGAAACTCACTATATAGACCAGGCTGGCCTTGAACTCACAGAGATCCACCTGCCTCTGCCTCCCAAGTTAATCCCAAGGGATTAAAGGCGTGTGCCACCACATCCAGCTTTACTTATTTTTATTTTATGTATATGAGTGTATTGCCTGCATGTATGTGGGTGTACCCGTGTCATGTAATGCCGTGGAGTTCAGATGAGGGCTTCGGATTCCCTTGGAACTGGAGTTAAGGACAGTTCATAGCTGCCATGTGGGTGCTGGGACTCGAATCCAGGTCCTCTGCAAGAGCAGTCAGTGTTCTTAACTGCTGAGCCATCTCTCCAGCCCTTGGTTTGGCTTTTTGAGACAGGTTTTCACTCTGTAGCCCAGGCCGCCCACAAATTTCTGGTGATCCCCCTGCCTCTGCCTAGTGAGTGCTGGGATGACAGGTGTGTACTATGCATTCAGCTGCACAGTTTTATGTGCCATGGGGTCTGTTTTGCTCAGGGCTGACAATCTGAGCTGAATTTCTAGTGAGGTGGGGAATATACACACCCACACTTCCCTAACTGCTGCTGGTCGAGGAAATCACCCTCAAGTCTGAGGAATGGAACCTTAGCTTCCCTCACATTGGTTTGTGGGTTTCAGGTCCTCAGGCCAGGAAGGGAGGCCTGGGCACCCCCAAAGGAGAAAACAGGAAGTGCTATGAGACCTTAAACTCTGGGTTGAGCCCATGGGTTCAAAAGGAAACTCCCAGCTGGGTGCGGTGGCCCATTCTTGTCATGCTAGCACCCGGAAAGATGAGGCAGGAGGACTCCTGTAAGCTTGAGGGCAGCCTGGGATGGACAGTGAGACCTTGTCACAATGAAATCAAAAGAGGAAAGTTTTAGGCAAGGTGCCTTAGTATCTCAACCGCTTCAAAAGCTGCTTGAGATAGGGCCAGCATCAACTACTGACGGGCAGGCACTGGGTCCCAGAGGTCTTGGGATCCTCTTTACCCCAATATATCTGGAAGCCTCTGGAAGTTTCGTTTGCCACCTCCTATATGGTTGGCTCTCTCCAGGTTTAGCATAGGCCTGGGGCATGCTTGAACAGAGTAGCTCTGTCCCTACAGGTTAGGTCCCTAACACAAACATCAGGCCCCAGTGGCCAGCACAGCATGGCTGTCTGAGCTGGGTAAGAAACTCCAGAAGTTTCTGAGGAAAAGGACCATGTGCTGGGCTGGAACCGAGAGCTCCCACTCAGTGGGTAGACTGTTTGCCTGGCATTCATGAGCCCTTGGGTTCCATCCCTAGCATTGCAAAATAGCCTATCTTCCCAACACTTGGGGGGTAGACGCAGGAGGATCAGGAGTTCAAGGTGATCTTTGGCTATACTGAGTGTTTGAGGCCAGCCTGGGCTATATGAGACCCCAACTCAAAAAATAAAAAATAAATAAAAAGGGTTAGGTGTGGTGGTGCTGCCATTAATCACAGCACTTGGGAGGCAGAGGCTCAAGGCCTGGCTAAGGACTCTGGCTCCAAGTCCTGGCTGGGTAAAGGGGCTGTGCACGTAGGCACTTACCATATCTGCAGTTTAATCCTCTTGCCATCGAGCTCTATGGTCCTAATTTTAAAGTCAATTCCTGAAACAAGGGGAAAGAAAAGGTGTTACCCATGTTAGGCCACTTCTAGGCTGGGTGGGAAGGGAGGCCTGGGCACTGCCAGTCTGACCAAGGACAGGGCTTCATTGCTGGCCCTGAGGAAGCTCAGGATTCCCTCCATTCCAACAAGCCTGGAAATTTATGGAAGTATCTTCCCCACTGGAAGCAAAACCAGAGATGTGGGGGCTGCTGGAGCGCCTAGGGGGAAGGTGACAAGGAGCAGTGGGTGGGCAGGGGTGTCTGTAGCTGAGAACCAGGCTGACCTCATCTACTTTGCCACCCACAGAACCTGTCTCCCTGGTCCAGTTGCAGAGCTGGGCTTCTAGAGCTTTCTATAGGCTGGGCTCCACACTCCTCCCATCCCACAAAGCAAAGACACTCTCATGGGCCATACACTTTGCTCTGGCTATTTTTTCATTTATTATTTTTTATTTTATGTGTGTGAATGTATTGCTTGCATGTAGGTAGGTGCACCTGTGTCATGTAGTGCCTGCAGAGGTTAGAAGAGGGTGTCAGATCCCCTGGAACTGGAAGGTTGTTAGTCGCCATGTGGGAACTGAATCCAGTTCCTTTGCAAGAGCAGCCTGTGCTCTTAATCACTGAGTCATTTCTCCAGCCCTCTCATTTTTTATTTTTATATACAGAGTTTCATGTAGCCCAGGCTGGCCTCAAACTCTCGATGTAGCCAAGGATGACATTTATAGGATCCTCTGCCTCCACTTCTCATGCTGTGATTACAGATGTGTGCTACCACACCTGCTCACACAGGCTTTCTTCTCAACAGACTGCCTGCTTTACTTGCCTGTCACAGCCCTGCTCTGACACCTGATGGAGGCACCCTCCTACCTGCTGCTGTGACCCCCTCCACAGTCTCTGCAAAAATACAGGTCATGTACTGGAGATGCAGCTCAGTGGTGGAGCACTTGTCTAGCATGTTCAGCAAGACTGAATTCTATCCACAGCACTTCATGGGACAGGCAGTATTGTGACACATTTGAGGAACCTGAACACTCAGGAGGTAGAAGCATGAGGATCGGGAGTTCAAGGTTGTCCTTGGCTACAGTAAGTTTGAGGTCAGCCTGTGTGTCAACCTGGACTCAAAAACAAGAACAGCAAAATTCCAACCTAACAGGTACCAAAAACAACCCTAACAGTAACTGTGTCGCCAAGCTGGTCTCTGCTTTGGAGCTTCCAGTGTGTCCACCAACAAACAAAATATAGATGGTTATGTGGTGGAGTATTACTCAGACATGAAAAGGAAAAGAAATCACATACAATATATTGTGGATAAGGCCCCAAAACATGATGCTGAGTGGGAAAAGCCAGCCACGAAAGGCCATAGACTATGTAACTGTGGTGACACAGACAAGGGCTGTGTTTGAGGCTGTGAAGCTGGGGTATGGGGAAGATGAAGAGGGTCAGTTGAAGGGTTCTGAAATGGTGCTACTTCTTTTTGGCACAGGAAACATTCTGAAATGTATTATGGTGATGGATATACAACTTAAAGCATACCAAAAGGGACTTCCACATGTGGAAGGAGAGAAATGATTCCCACAAATTGCCCTTTGAGCACCACACATATGCTACGGCACATGAGTGCCCCCACACAAGTAAATGTGCTACATTAAAAAAAAAAAGTCATCTGGGTTTGGTGGTACACACTTTTAATTCCAGCACTTGGGAGGCAGAGGCAGGTGGAGCTCTGTGAGTTCAAGGCCAGCCTGGTGTATATATGGAGTTCTAGGAAACGGTCAGCTAGGGCTACAGGGAGACCCTGTCTCAAAACGACCTCCCCCAAAAAACCAACCAACAAACCAACCAACCAAACAACCCCCCTCCAACAAACAAACAAACAAAAAGTAGCAAAACAAAACAAAAACCAGGCTGAGACTCAATGGACAGGCTGCTTGCCTAGGGTGGCCTGGGGCCTATGACTAGCACCATATAAGCTGGGTGTGAGCTGCACACCTGTCATCCCAGACCTTTGGAGGTAGAGGCAGGAGGATCATGGGATCAAGTTCATCCTCAGGTACATAGGGAGTTTGAGGCCAGCCTGGGCTACATGAGACCCTGTCTCAAACAACAAAAAGCTGGTCAGATGAATGAGGCACAGCTACAATCCATGGTACCACTGGCTTGGCGCAGCACATCTGAAGCAATGACAGGCTCTTGAAGACATGGCAGACCCAGACCAGACTAACAAGAACTGACTCTAGGAAGCCCAAGGGCTAGGCTCACCCCTCATATTATAGATGGGACTTCTGAGGTCAGACCCTGGCCACACAGGGCAGTGCTTCCAGAACAGACAGTCATTCTGGTCTGTATTGAGCACTGGAGGCTGCTGGCTGCCAGGATGGATTTACCTTCCTGTGTCATTTCAGGCCCAAGACATTTCCCAGTTTGTCACAGATGCTCAGGGACCCACAGAAGTTTAGAATTGCTGTTCAGCCCACCTAGATCACAAACTACTACTCTAGAGCCTCATGGGTTTAAAAAAAAAAATCATTCATTCATTCATTTTGAGACACGATCTCCCTGTGGCCCCAGCTGGTCTGGAACTCACTATGTAGACCAGGCTTGCTTTGAACTCACAAAGATCCCCCAGCCTCTGCCTCTGAGTGATGGGATTAAAGACATATATCACGCCCCCCCCCCCGCTGGTTTTATTAATTAGGAACTGTAAACTTTTTTTTTTGGTCTTTTTGAGACAAGGTCTCCCTGTAGCCACAGCTGGCTTGGATTTCCTATGGAAACCAGCCTGGCCTCAAACTCACAGAGATCTGCCTGCCTCTGCCTCCTCAGTGCAGGAATTAGGAACTATATAAACTTTATAAGGCTGTAACTTCAAGGTCAAGGTGAGTAACTTTCCTAAAAAAGAGGTCTACAGGAATGTGATACAAAGGTCTGGGCTGGACGGATCCTAGTTCAGGTGCCACCCCCATCTCATGGGGTGGCTGTGACCCAGTCATGCCTCACCTGCAAACAGAGAGGCTGGTCTCCTTGGTGCTGTGAAGTGCTAAGTGAATTTTCTCATCAAGAATTTAAAACTAAGCACCAGGTATGGTGGCACACACCTCTAATCCCAGCACTTGGGAGGCAGAGGCAGATCTCAGAGGCAGGCAGATCTTGGTAAGTTCAAGGCCCGCCTGGTCTACATAGTGAGTTACTGTGACTACAGGGAGACCCTGCCTCAAAAAATTTAAAACCTTGCCAGCTAGAGATGCAGCTCAGCGGTCAGCTGGCACATGTAAAGCTTTGGGCTCTATCCTCAGTACTTCAAAAACTAAAACTGAACACTAATACTTGTAGCCTGGCGCAGTGGCACGCACCTTTAGTCCCAGCACTCAGGAGGCAGAGGCAGGCAGAGCTCTGTGAGATCAAGGTCAGCCTGGTCTATAGAGTTCCAGGCCACCTGGAGCTACAGGAAGACCATGTCTCAAAAACAAACAAACAAAAAACCCCAAAAGACCCCCAATAAACCAATCAACCAACCAACCAACCAAAACAAGCATTGTTGGCCAAGTGACATGGCTGGGCATTTAAAGGAATCTGCTGCTGAGCCTGGGACTCGAATTCTACTCCAGGACTCTCATTCTGGAAAGAGAACTGACTTCCATGAGTTGTCTTTTTGACAAGTCTGAGTTACCTTTTGATTTGTCTTTTTTTTGGGTCTTTTTGAGACAGGGTCTCCCCTGCAGATCTATCTGGCCTGGAACTCACTATGTAGACCAGGCTAGTCTTGATCTCACAAAGATTCACCAGCCTCTGCCTCAGGAATTCGAGTGCTGGGATTAAAGCCATGTGCCACTATGCCCGGCTTCATTTGTCTTTCTGACAAGTTTGCGCACACAGAAAATATGCAATTAAAAAAAAAACATCCAGGAATGGTAGTTTACATATTTTTAGGTTTTGTTTTGAGACAGGGTCTCACTATGCATCCCTGATTGGCCTTGAACTCAGATATTAAAGGCATACACCACCAAGCCCAACCTGGTGACTCAATGGATCTGTAGTCCCAGCTTTTGGGAGGCAGAGACAGGACTGCTGCAAGTTAGAGGTTAGTCTGAGCTACAGAATGAGACCCTGTCTCAAACAATGAAAAGCTAAGCAAGGGTGGCTGAAGAGTGGATCAGTGCTTAAGAGCACTGGCTGTTCTTGCAGAGGACCTGGGTTCAGTTCCCAACACCCACATGGTGGCTAACAACTATCCATAACTCCAGTTCCAGGGAATTCGATGCCCTCTTCTGACCTCAGGCACTGCATGACATGGGTGCACTTACATACATGTAGGCATAACACTCATACACATAAAATAAAAATAACAAAATATCTAAAAACCAAACAATTAGGGAGATGGCTCTGTTCATAAAGTACTTGCCACATATGCATGAGGACCTGAATTGCATCCCCAGGACACATGTAAAACTAGTCAGTGGATGGCACGCACCTATAACCCCAGCAGGAGGGTCCTGGGCTCCCTGGCCAGCCAGTCTAGCAAAACTGGTGAGTTTTGGGCTCAGTGAGAGATTGGATTTGAAAAGAGAAAGGTGGGAGGGCTGGGCAGATGGCTTAGCAGGTGAAATTGCTCCCTGTCAATCGTACGTCCTAAGTTACGTTCTCAGGACCCACATGGAGGAGGAGTGTAACTGTCACAATTTGTCCTCTGACCTCCACATCTGTGTGGTGGCTTGCACTCGCTACTCTTCCCAACACACACACACACACACACACACACACACACACACACACACACACACACTCAATTTTTTTGAAACCAAACAAAAAGCCAATCCCTCCAATCCCTGAACTAATCTCATGGTGCTGTTGCTGATTGGGAAATGTCTGAGGCTGGGAAACTGAGGTGGGGTTAACAGCAAACCTCAGACTGCAGGCAGTTATAGCCACTTCCTGGTTGGCCGGACTCAAGACTCCAAAGTTGGATGTTGGAGTGGGGGAGAACTTTCAGATGTACCTGTGCATGCCACACCATGGTGTGGTTAGGGAGACAACACAGCTTAGTTGTCATCTCACACAACTTATTTCCTAAGTTCTTTTTCTTTTTGAGATAGGGTCTCATGTAGCCAGGGCTGGCTCTCAACTCACAATGTAGCCAAGGATAACCTTGATCCTCCTGCCTCTACCTCCCCTGTGCTCGCTTTACAGTTGTGTGCCACCACATCTGTATTATGGGGTGCTGGAGATGGAACCCAGGGCTTTGTCCATGTGAGGCGAGCTACATCTGAGCCTTGGGATAAACTGGGCATGGTAAGTGCTCTCTCATTCCAGGACTCACCCAGGACACTTTGCTAGGAGTTACTTCTACACCCAACCTTCTGAATGCAACGTCGTGACTGTTTTGGTGGCAAGGAGCAAGGTCAGGTGTTTTTGAAGTCAGGACTGGTATACCACAAGGCAATTTTATTAAATGGCACAGTGGGTCAGCTCTGGGAAAAAAGCTGTTCTGAAAGTGACAGGCAGGTCCTGGGCCCTACAATAGGGAAGTTAAGGCAGCATGTGGCACAGAGGATCTTGGTCTTTCATTGGGGCTTTTTATCTTTCATCGCTAAAGGGATGACAGGTCGGCAGCCCTACGCTGCCATTATTCCTTTAGTAGGAAAAATCACTGATGAGGGGTGGGGGCAGGATCGGGGAGAAGGGTCATTTCTAGACTAAAGGGCCACCGAGGTTGGGGTTGGAGGAACTCTGAGGTGGCTCAGCTGCGCTGGTCCTTCGGGGGTACAAGTTGACACCTCTTTGGGATGGCTGGACTTTGAATTTGGGGGTCAGATACACCTAGGTCCAAATCTCATCCCTGCCACCTGTAGCCGGAGACTCTCAGGGAGTTCCACACCCTCCCTCAGTTTCAAATTTTTCCAACTTGTAACTGCACCTGACCCAAGAACACTGGAGAGTGTGGGTACCGGACAGGCCAAGCCTGCCAGATAGAAAAAGCCCCACGCGGCCAGGTGTCCCCGCCCTGTGCCCATGCCTCAGTTTCCACTTCTGTAAGACCGGGATGCCCTAACAAAGTCTCGAGGGCTGCTCTGAGCTGACAAGAGAGATGACAGGCGGGCGGCAGGACCCCGGCCCAGGACCGGCGCTCGCTCACACCCAGCCTCGGGATCCCCATCTGCACCGAGGACCCGGTCCCGCCACGGCTCGGGATCCCTGCGGTGAGGTGGAGGCCGGCGTGCTGGCTCCCCTCCGGGTTTTCGGCCCGGGTCCATCCGGGATCGATCTTAGCCCAGCCACGCAGGGGCGCGCCCGGCCCGGCCCAGGCCCCCGGCCGCTCCCAGGCCCCGTTACCTATGGTGGAGATGAACGTGGAGTTGAAGGCGTCCTCGGAGAAGCGGAACAGGACACAGGTCTTCCCCACCCCCGAGTCCCCGATCAGCAGCAGCTTGAACAGGTAATCGTAGGTCTTCGCCATATTACACTCTCTCCCCGACGGGAAGTACGGCCGGCGCCTTGCCACTGGTCGCTAGATCCGTCCATCAGTGTCGATCCCGCCCCCTATTGGCTCCCAGCCCGTCTTGCGTCACCAAGGCCGAAGCCAGCCCCCCGAGCTCCGCCCGTCGCGGGGAACCCTGGGGGAACAGGAGAATCCGACGCAGAGCCGGAAGTAGCCGGGGCACCCCGCCCATTGGCTGACGCTTGGGATAAGGAGTGTTGTGATTGGCTAGCGGTGAAGCGTCGTGGGGAGGTGGACTTCAAATGAAGAGCGGGGGGCGTGACTATCACTTGACCCCGCCTTCCAGCCCAACCCTTGAGCGGCCTCGCCCGCCTCCCGACGGGAGGGGCGCCAACAATTCCGCGCGCTGACCGCTGAGGAGGGAGTCGTGGCTGCGCACGCACGCTCCGGAGACCGTTGGCTCCAGTAGAGGGCGCACGCGCGCAGACCGGGTCTCGAGGTTCCCGCTTCCCGGCTCGCCGTCCTTAGCTGTGCCCTAGGCGAAGCGCGGGAAGTATTTTCCTGCTGGGGGTAATGGCTGTGTGGACGTTTTTATGCTCCGGGCCTGGACGCCGGCCCCACGCGGGGCTGCGCCGCCCGCCGGTGTCCTCGGCACAAGCGAGGCGCTGAGGCGGGTGGGGGAAGCCTGGCCCTCCCCCTCGGCCGATCCTCAGGCGATCTCCCAGGCCTCGGCCGAGGGCACACCTGCAGGTTCAGCACCTTTGGTTCTGTGCCTGAGCATGCCCTCCGCACATAAAAATGCACAAGACTGCATCCCATACCAGCCCTGCGAGGCGGTAGGCTCTTTCTCATTTCATGGTAAGGAAACTTGAGGCTGTAGGAAATGAAATTACTTTCCTAGGCTCCAGAGTGGAAAGTTCCCCCGGGCCCCCCTTTTTCTTTTTCTAGAGTTGGAATGGAGCCTGGTATACCTGGAGAATGGTTTAAAAAAACAAAAGAAAACAAAAAGAAAATTAATATATGAGGGACCAGGAGACGGAGATAGCTCATTTGCTGAAGGTGCTTCTAGGCACATGGTGGAAGGAGAGACCTACCCCCACAGTTGTTCTCTGATATCTACACACTAAGTAAATAAATAAATGCAGTTTTAAAAAGATTGACATGCATGGTGTCGCACACGTGTAATCCCAGCACTCGGGAGGCAGAAGTAGGCGGATCTTTGTGAGTTTGAGCCCAGCCTGGTCTACATAGTGAGTTCCAGGGCAGCTGGAGCAACAGGGAGACCCTGTCTCAAAAAAAAGGTTAACGTGGGCCTGGAGAGCTGGCTCAGAGGTTAAGAGCACCAGCTGCTCTTGCAGAGAACTTGCGTTTGGTTCCCAGCACCTACATGGTGGCTAACAACTGTTTGTAACTCCAGTTCCAGGGGAGCCCATGCCCTCTTCTGACCTCCTCCGCATTGAGGGCATGTGGTGCAGTTACATGCACGCAGGGAAAACACTTATGTACATAAAAAAATTAACATGTAAGGGCTGAGAGGCTGGCTTAGTGGGTTAAAGGTGCTCAGACGCTGAGCCTCACTGCTTTCTGAGCTCATGCCACCATGCCCACTGCCCACGATCATACTCTGGCTTTTCAGACGTTCATTTTTAGGTTACTCTGGTGTATCAAAAAGACAGACATACTAAGAGCCTGCGGGAAGTTGGCTCTGCCTGTCCACCCTTCTCTTTCAACTTGCTCTATTCATCCACTTTTGATTAGGAAATTTCACCGGAACCATCGCCCCCTTTCTTGCTGGAGAGCACTGCCCTATGTGAACTCTGCCAAAAGCATACTTGGTATACCTGCAAAATCACCACCAGCCAGAAGTGCCTACAATGGCAAAGCTAAATAGGCATGTATCAGACCTTTACCCACATTTTGTTGTAGTTTTCTGAGGCCCTGCAGAAGTGTTCTTTGAGCTGCCTACCTCTTGTTCCTGAATGCCAGCTTGGAGTACCTTATCTATGCTAATAAAAACTTCAGGAGTTAGAGACCTGGACAGAGTACCTCCTGGTCCACACTTTCTTAAAGTTAATGTGTCTTGTGTGGTACCATGGGGTCCCTCTTCTGGATTTTCTACCATCCTATGTACTAGATGTGGCCGTAGTTGATACTCCCGGCCACCTCTGAAAATATTTTCTTGGTACCCTCCCCATTTTAGTTGCCTCTTTCTTGAGTCATCTCTACCTCCCCTTTTTTAGGCACGACCCTTCTGTGGATTCCTGTTTGTATTTCATTATTGCTGTTCTGCAGCATTCTTTCCTTCTGAGTTGTCACTTTCTGGGTAACCTTTTCTGTAGCTTCTAATATCTCCATGGTGATGATTCTAAATTCCTCATCCAGGGTTATGTGAGATGACTCATCAGAGGAAAGGCGCTTGCTGCTAAGCCTGACAGCCTCAGCTCCGTTCCCTGGACCCAAAGGATGGAAAGATAGAACTGACTCCGGCACACTCCCACCATGGCGCACTCCCCCACACAAAATAAATAATAAATGTAAAATCTCCCCCAAAACAAAGAAATTCATCCTCCATTGTTTAACTGCTCTATGGTCTCTATCCAGATGATGTTTGATACTTTTCTTTGATCTCTCACATCCTTGTTCTGTGTGTCTGTCTGGCTGTGTGTATAGGTCAGAGGTTGACTTACCAGGTGTCTTCCTTATTTGTTCTCTATTAAAATTTTTTTTTTGCATTTATTTTTATTTTATGTGTATGAGTTTTTTTCTGCATGTATGTAAGTGTACCCATATTGTGCAATGCCTACAGAAGCCAGAAGAGGGTGTCAGATCCCCTGGAACTGGAGTTACAGATGATTGTTAGCCACCATGAGGGTGCTGGAAACCAAACCCAGGTCCTCTGCAAGAGCAGCCAGTGCTCTCAACGGCTGAGCCATCTCTTCAGCCCCACTACCTTATTCTTGTGAGGCAGAGTCTTTCGCTGAACTGGGAGCTTGCCAGTTTTGCTACACTGATTGGCCAGCAAGCCCCAGAGACTCTCTGATATCTGCCTTTCCAGTGTTGGGGTTGTAGGTGTATACCCCCATGCCCAGGTTTTTTGCATGGGTGCTGGAGTTTGAATTGAAATTATTATGCTTGTATGGCAAGCACATTACTGAGCCATCTCCCCAGCCCATATCCTGGTTCTTAAAGAGATTCTGAGCCATTTCCATTACCACAGTGAGGTCATTCTAAGTCATCACTGGGGATACCAGGAAAAGTTTTCAGTTAACCACAATCATATCTGACATTAACCTCACTGGCTACAATGCTGCCAGTGAAGTGTTTGACAAAGCTTAACACTTCTTATTTAAGTGCTGAGACACAAGTATCTTCAGTTTGGAATCCAACCCAAGGGGGTAAAGAGGGAGAAAAATAGCCACCTAAAGGAAGAACTTTGATCTGGTATTAATATGGCCAGGCGTGGTGGCGCACGCCTTTAGTCCCAGCACTCGAGAGGCAGAGGCAGGCGGATCTCTGTGAGTTCAGGGCCAGCCTGGTCTACAACATGAGTTCCAGGCCAGCTGGGGCTACGGGGAGACCCTGTCTCAAAAAGACAATAATAACAATGTGGCACTTGGAGGGGAGGATATCGATTTGTTTTGTTTTGTTTTGTGTGTGTTTTTTGAGACAGGGTCTCCCTGTAGCCCCAGCTGGCCCGGAATTCACTATGTAGACCAGGCTGGCCTCAAACTCAGAGAGATCTGCCTACCTAGGGGACTACATTCTTATTTGTGGACTTTATCTGTACCATCTAAACTCAGTGTCTACACTGTATTAATAGGAAAATATTTAAATTTGATTAACAAAAATGTTTGATACTGCAGTAACATTTTACAAGTATTCATTTCTCTCTCTTTCTGAGACAGGGTCTCTTTGTCTAGACCAGGTTGGCTGTGAACTCAGAAATATGCCCGCCTCTGCTTCTGTGATTAGTGCTAGGCCTAATGGTGTGCGCCACCATACCCAGCTCCTCCGTCCCTCTCTCCCCAAGTTCTCTAGTCCAACCTGACGTGGACCACCATATCCAGCTAAAGCTTTCACTTCTCTTTTGGAACTCTTAGCTCCCTTCTCCAATTTAAGATCTTGAAGCAAAATACCAGAACAATTCAGGTAGTGAAACTGTAGTGACTAACAAGCGTACTACATGTCGCCTGCCACCACCCAAGCTGTGAGATCACTTCCTTTATCACTTCCGCTATTTCATGGCAACCGCTGTCCAGGATAGTCCCACTTAAAATTTTATTATCATATGCGTGAATGCAGGTATGCTCCTGCCATGGTGAACATGCAGCGGTCAGAGGAGTTTTTTATTTTAACATTTAATGTGTATGTATATAAGTGCACCCATGTCATGCAGTGCCCGAGGTCAGAAGAGGACGTTGGATCCCCTGGAACTGGAGTTATGGACAGTTGTTAGCCACCATGTGGGAGCTGGCAACTGCACCCGGGTCCTCTGCAAGAGCAGCTGGTGCTCTTAAGTGCTGAGCATTCTCTCCAGCCCCAATTTTTTATTTTATGTGTTTGCCTGCCTGTATGTATGTGTACTACATGCATGTAGGTACCTGGAGGCCAGAAGAGGGTGTCAGATCTCTTGGAACTAGTTACAGGTAGTTGTGCTCAGACCCAAACCTGAATCCTCTCTGCAAGACCGGTAAGAACTGTTAACCACTGAGCCATCTCTTCAGCCTACCCGCTCCTGACTTTGGGAGCCAACTGTCACCTTCCACTGTGGAATCTGGGGATCAAACTCAGTTGGTCAGTCTTGTGCAGCAAGTGCTTTTACCCCCTGAACCATCTCACCAGCCCGTCCTGGATCACTGACATTGTCTCACCTTGCCTTCAATGTAACCACCACCCAGCCCCTATTCATCCCAAAAACAAATGCTAAATGGAGTGTTTGTTTACTTCTATTCCTGACCAGATTGTTTATCATTGTGACCCACCCATCTTCAACTTTCCTGCTCTGCTTTACATATGTGATACAGAGAAAGCCTATCCAAGCAGACCTTTGCACTTTCTTAACCAGGGCTGTAGAAATCTTT